TACATAAAGGATAGGCAGTGGTAGCACACTCCTTTAATCCTAGCATTCCAGAGGCAGAAATCCATGTGTTCAAGGATATAGACAGGCATGGTGACTCATCATGCCTTTAATCCCAGAAAGCAAGCCTTTAATCCCAGGGAGTGGTGGTAGAAAGCAGAAAGGTATATAAGGCGTGAGGACCAGAAACTAGAAGCATTTGGCTGGGTAAGCATTTGGCCTGGTTAAGCATTCAGGCTTTTGAGCAGCAATTCAGCTGAGACCCATTCTGGATGGGGACTCAGAGGCCTCCAGTCTGAGGAGACAAGACCAGCTGAGGATCTGGCGAGGTGAGGTTAGCTGTGGCTTGTTCTGTTTCTCTGATCTACCAGCATTGACCCCAATTACTGGCCTCGGGTTTGATTTTATTAATAAGAACTGTTAAGATTCCTGTTACAGCCTACAGTCAGCTAGGCCTTCCCACACCAATCACCAGTCAAGAACATGTACCACAGACCAGTCTGGCAGGAAGGTTTTCTTTTCTTTTCTTTTTTTAAATATTTAAATATTTTAAATTTATTTTTATTTTATGTACATTGGTGTTTTGCCATGGGTGTTGAGTCTCAGGAACTGGAATTACATACAGTTGTGAGCTGCCATGTGGGTGCTGGGAATTGAACCAGGGTCCTCTGGAAGAGCAATCAGTGCTCTTAACCACTAAGCCATCTCTCCAGCCCCAGGAATGTTTTCTTAATTAAGGTCTCCCAGATGACTCTAGCTTTTGTCAGGTAGACACAAAACTAGCTAACACCACATCTCCATAAATTTGCATTTTCCTGGCCTTGCTTTTCCTTCTAACTTCTTAAACTCTCTGGGGGTGGGAAACAACTTTTGCTGGAAAGAAACACTATGGAAGGAGGGCGGGGAATACCTCATAGATTATGTATTGTAGACCAGATTATATACTGTAGCCAACACACATCAGCATGGCTGCTATCTTTAGACTGACTTGGAGGAGCTGGATATTAATGGCCACAGCATGAAGCATTGTTTGTAGTGTGTTAGTCAAGACCCTTTATTAGACCAGTGCATGTCCACTTTCCACAAACAATTGTCCGAAGCTATCTAGAGCTGCTTTGCCATGCAAATCAGTCATCTATGGCCTCTCTCTCCACCTCCTGTCCTGACCCTTCTCTGATGCATTTCTGCTATCAGTCAGCCCTGTCCCCAAACTGGAGTGCATTTATTTCAGAGACTACCTCTCCTAGGAGCAAACCAAGACTAGACTTTGCTCTGTCCTTTCATTCAAAGTGAAAAACTCTTTGAATAAAACACACCTGTCCTATAGTCCCAAGTCACCAGCCTATTTTTTCCCAACCAGAACCTGAGGGGTTTTATTAGGAGGCTCTGATCACAGCCTAACTCTTGCAATTTCAGGAGTGTGGCTTGCTAACCTGTTCAGAATCCCCTATGCTTGACTAAGAGCACTGTGCTGAACAATGGAATGGAAGGTCAGGAGATCAGTGTTCTAGTGCTGTGACCACTGAGAGCTTTTGATGAACTATATTTTAGGTGTGCAAACAACTGAGCTAATATGTGAGGAGTGAAAATCAGGCCTGAATTATTTTTCCTAATTGAAGAAACATAGTAAGTAGCATAAAAACAGTACCTGAGGGTTCTCACTTGTAGCTAGAGTTTTCCTGACTGGCCCACAGTCAGGACAAATCTCTCTCACCCGCCAGCCCCACAGCCGCTCAAACCCGATCAAGTAAGCACAGAGACTTATATTGATTACAAACTGTATGGCCATGGCAGGCTTCTTGCTAACTGTTCTTACAGCTTAAATTAATCCATTTCCATTAATCTATACCTTGCCACATGGCTCGTGGCTTACCGGCATCTTCACATGCTGTTTCTCATCATGGCGGCTGGCAGTGTCTCTCTGACTCAGCCTCCCACTTCCCAGCTCTATTCTCCTCCTTGTCCCGCCTACACTTCCTGCCTGGCCACAGGCCAATCAGTGATTTATTTATTGACCAATCAGCAACACATTTGACATACAGACCATCCCACAGCACTCACTGGATCAAACTAAACAGTTAATTTGTGAGAAGTGGATAAACATCAAACTGAATGTGCTTATAGAAGAAGAAGAGGAGGAGGAGGAGGAGGAGGAGTTGGAGGAGAAGGAGGAGGAGGAGGAAAGAAAGAGAGAGAGAGAGAGAGAGAGAGAGAGAGAGAGAGAGAGAGAAAGAAGGAAAGAAGAAAAGAAAGAAGTTAAGAAAAAAGAGAGGAAGAAAGACAGCTACTCTTTTCTCAATCTTCAATTCCTATTTAGAAGCACTTAATTTTTTTGATCACAGCAAGTCTGTAGATGATGAAACAAATGGAACTAAAACTACTATTAAGACTTCATCTTCAAAAACAAAAACAAAAAACAACAACAAAAAACAACAACAACAACAAAAAGAGTTCACCCTTATGCCAGGCAGTGGTGGTGCATGCCTTTAGTCCCAGCACTTGGAGGCAGAGACAGGTGGATCTCTGAGTTTGAGGCAAGCCTGGTTCCAGATAAAACATGGCTGCTGTAGGCAGAAGTTTCTGTCCCACAGCCAGTTCCCAAATAACTGATACAGAGGCTTAATATTAATTACAAATGATTGGCCCATAGCTTAGGCTTATTACTAACTAGCTCGTACAACTTCAAATAACCCATTTCTATTAATCTATGTACTGCTAAGTGGCTCGTGGCTTTCTCCAGCATGTTTTGCTCCCTCTGTGTCTCATGGCAACTCCTCTGACTCTGCCCTTCTTCATCCTAGCATTCTTAGTTTGGTTGTTCCACTTATACTTCCTGCCTAGCTACTGGCCAATCAGCTTTTAATTAAACCAATCCAAGTGACAGATTTCACAGTGTACAAAAGGATTACTTCACAGCAAGCTACACAAAGGAACCTTGTCTCATTAAAACCAAAGAGTTTATCCTTATTCAAGACACATCTATAGTTCCAGGCTATTTCCTGTCTCCATAAATAAATCAGGTCAGTTAAGACCCACTCTTTTGTTAAAAATGCATTAATTTAGTTGGGCAGTGGTGTCTCACATCTTTTATCCCAGCATTCAAGAAGCAGAGGCAAGCAGATCTCTGAGTTTGTGGCCAGCCTGGTCTACAGAGTGAGTTCCCAGACAGCCAGGGCTACACAGAGAAACCCTGTCTCATAAAAACAAAAAGTCGTAATTAAAAAACATATTCCCCACTCCGTTGTTTATGCCTCATGTAATCCTCACATCTCAGAACACATTTTGACTTAAAATTCCAAAACAATGGAGCAATTTATATATTTTGCCTATAATAGAAGTCACTGGAAACTTTTTTTTTTAAATGTACAAATACTCAAGGGCACCGAGAAGCAAGAGTTGTTTCTCCCAGGAATAAACAGGAGGAAGAGATCAGGTTCACTTGCATGAGCATACTGGATATAGGAAGTCCTCAGTCTCTCCCAGGATGTTTCCTCAAACACCTGAGTGAGAACACAGGAACCTTGGAGTGCCCATTCAAGACAGGCTGTGGCTTGCTCTCAGCTTCATGTGTGGGATTTCAACAGTGCAGGGAGAGCACTTCAGGTCTGAAGGGTGCCCTGTACAGCATGCTGTATGAAACAGCTCAGTGAAAAAGCACCCTGGAAGTCTGAGCTTAGCAGACCATTCCCTCCACAGCCACATGTACTTACTAAGAGGGAGGGTGGGGAGAGTTTAAAAATAGAACCATTACTTCAGTGTGAGCTGCTACTGGGGGAGGCATGGTTTCAGGTAACCCAAAGCTGCAGATAAAATTTGTCTCTAAGAAAGGTAGCAGTCCCTTCTCAGACTGAGGAACAGCATCTACAGCATGACTGTGATGGTTACTTCAGTGTTGACTGTGGTTCTCAGTTGTTTGGTCAACACCAGGCTAGATGCTGCTGTTAACATAAAGGATATTAATCCCTGCATGCAACGAAGGCCTTCCCCAACTGGTAGACTTTTCGACAAAAGATAGGTTTCCTTAAAGAAAAATGATTTTGCCTCAATTCCTCAACACCTAAATTCTTCCTGCTTCCAGTTTGATGGAATGTCCTTCAGACTTGAGACTCAAGCTCTGTGATCATATGAACCACAAAGACACACGGGCAGAGGAAATACACACACACACACACACACACACACACACACACACACACACACACACACCTCTTAGTCTGTGCAACTCCTAACAATCACAATACTAGTCATTTAATTCTCCCAGAAGTTCTAAGACACTGAACATACAATGGCTGGACCCTACATAAATGGGAGAAGTTGAGCCAATCTGCCAGGAAATCAATCTCATTACCTGCATTCTACAATGCAGGAAGCCATCCTGTTAGTGGACATGTAGGAAGTCAGACTGCTTTCTCAGAAATCATCCAGAAGGTGAAGAGCTTAGTTATCACTCAGCCACTAATGCTCAGGACTTGGCCAAGTATGCTGGCTACCGACTCACAAAGAAAGCCTGCTTCCAGTGAGAGCTACCCGATGTGTTGCACACACCTGATCTACAGCAAGTTGTAATATGCCTGATAAGACAAAAAGCTTTTGGCCAAAACAGTTTTAAAATTCTAATTATTGGACTCACAGCTGTTCATGATCATTTGCTCATGATAATGTGCCTAACTATGAAAAATTGTGGTTTGTTTTGTTTTGTTTTATAGAATGCATGTAGATTTACTAAGGAAAAATTAGAAAGAACTCTTGTTGAGGGAGAAATACCCAAAATATTCTGGTTTTAAATACAACTTCCTTACCTCAAAAGCTTTACTATTTAAGATAATAATATGAAAAGTATAAAAAGCACTGAGTTTATAATTTGTACCTAATTTGCAAATATTAAACTTTAAGGATAAAATTAGTCAATTACATTTATAAAAATCAATAAAGTTTGAGACCTCTAGAGCAGCCACTGGGAATTAAAAAGAACCCAAAAATAGCAAAGCAGTATCTGGGAAGGGTGCATTTGATAATTAGATTTATTTAAGAAAAATAACAAATATCAAGGACAACCTTTAGTCACTAGAACTTCACAGTAGGCATTTCAAATATTTGATTTTTGACTTGTGGTAATTAAATAAAAAACATCACTTTCAATAATTTTCAGCAAAATGGAAAAAATCACGGTTGACTTAAGATCATTTAATAATTTAACTTCATAAAACATCAATACTAAATTATGACACTGTAAACATGATTAAAATACATCTTAGGCTACAGAAAAAAGAAAAGTCCAACAACATAATCCCCCAAACAGTACAATTCTCACTTCCTTGGATACAAATATAGCAAAATTACCAAAATGATACTAACAGAACCAACCTGTCAGTTAGGGGAAGACAAACAGAAGACAATCCTTAACAGGGAAGACCCCCAGAAGGTTATAGCTGTAAAAGTCATTAGGTGCCTTAAAATGTTCTCTGGGAAATTCTGCAAATGCTCCTTAATGGTCTGTCCAGTTATTTAGAAGATCTGACCCCTTGGATGCAGCTTCTGACGGCAGCACTGGAATGCCAGCTTCAACTCAAACTTCAAGGGTGCTGTATCAATAATGCACAGGAAAAGAATGTCAGTGACCTCCACACTCCTACTCTGAGAGCTCTTCCTGAGTTTCCTGCTTATTCACCCATGTCAGCTGTATGAAAGTGACACCTTTAGAGGTGACAGTGAGGACACTTTTCTTTAATTTTGGTGATGGTCAGATTGGAACTGGGGTGGCTCTAGACTGGGTTTGTGGTGGATGGAGGAAGGAGTTGTGAGTCAGATGCCCAATACTGTGAGAACCCAAGATGCTGGAGATGATACCAAAGGTAGCCCAGAAGTCTGAATCATCAAATGTCCTCAGCGAGGCTGATACTGTGCTAGGAGATGTTGGGTGGCTTGGGGGCTTTTCTTTCTTAGAGGGGTAAAGACCAGCTGATAAGTCAACTCTAGACTGAGTGGCCAATAGGTTGGTCACTTGTAACTCAAGGACTTGACAAGTTCACAGATCGAATCTCTAGCAACACCATATAAATATGATCACACCCACCCTCAAGATTAGACACATGCTAGCAGAGAAGCACTTAACAGAAATGCTCAGCCAGGTGCTGGTGGCACATGCCTTTAATAATTCCAGCACTCGGGAGGCAGAGGAGGGTGGCTCTCTGAATTTGAGGCCAACCTGGTCTACAGAGCAAGTTCCAGGACAGCCAGAGTTATACAGAGAAACCCTGTTTTGAAAAACCAAAAAGAAAAAAAAGGGAAAAGAAAAAGAAAGAAAGAAAAGGAAAAAAAGAAATGTTCGGCATCCTTAATCATCAGGGAAATGGAAATCAAAACTACTTTGAGAGTTCATCCTACACCATTCAGCATGGCCATGTCAGAGGAGCAGTAGGTGGCAATTGAAGTTCAAGGAGTCAGCCCACCAGGAGGCGATCCCCTGACTGGTTACTCTCCATTAGGCAAGGTCCCCGAGACCACAGACCCCGGAATGTCTTTTGCTTCTGCTGTGTCTACACATGTTTGCTGCTGCTCTTTCTCTGGCATCTGGCATGGTGTGAATGGGTGTGGGGAGATCCCCACTGCCTGTAATGTAGTGTGTTTATCTCATGGAAGTATCCCATTCTACTGGGTATTTTTACCTCTGGATTATTATAAAGATGACTTCCTCCCTAAGCTGTACCATCTAATTGATAATAATAATGTTAGCTTATACAGAGTTTTGATGAATAAAAATAACTACAAGGAAATGTTACACAGCTAGGGCCTGTGAGTTTCACTTAGGAGCTGCATAGATCGTAGCTCAAGCTAATGATTAAGAGAAACAATTGAGTCTCAGTAGCCAGGCTGGCTCAAATTCAGTCTTTTTTTTGAAAGACACAGTCACAGGTTTTGGTGTGCATCATTGGCTGAAACAAAGCCTTATAATACTTCAGGTTAGATCAGATGTTCTGATAACAGCCTTAAGATGAAAAATCGCAGAAAACAATCTAAAGTTCACAAGGACACAAAACTAGCATGAAAAGTACAGAGCAGCCCAACTGTTACTGGCTGATGTATTTTCTTGCTAGGGTTGGTTGATGATCAAAAGTAATGATTAATTGCTTGTACCCATTCCTGCCCTCAATCTCCTGATATAAAGAACTATTGATGAATGGAATGCATCCTAAGGATCTAGAATACAGCTGACTGATTGTTCTTTATGTATGGAAGTTAAGATTTGTGATTCCTTTAAGATTCCTTATAATATTAACTTTCAGGATAAATAGTAAAATGATTGATTCTTTCTTTGTAACCACAACTTGCAGCCTGCCAACAAAAGAGTTGGCTATGAAAAAAATACTTTGTTTGCTCATGTTCTGTTAATCTGTAACCAGTTACTTAGATGTAAATGTATATGGGATATTGGGAAGAATTTGTTTTCAATCATGTAAGAGAGATAAACAAAAACCAAACAAACATGTCTTCACCTGTACTCTGCAGGAATTTAGCAGAATCACTGTAGGGGGAGATATTAGAATTAACAGTTGTTTTTTAGAAGTACCTTGACCTTGAAGAATCCTTGTGGAAGACAGTTATTGTTTTGCTGAAGGGGCTGTGCAGCCATCCCATGACTTTGCTCACAAGATGACTCAGGCAAACCTGAGGCTCTTGTATTATTGTGTATTGCACACAATACATAATAAAGGACTAGAGTCATGGAGGCATGTGATGCTCTCCTTCAGTAAGACATGTAAATTTAGATTAGGGATCTTGGTATGAGGAAATACTTTGTGTAACAATCATTAAATATGCCTCTGTATGGCTGTACAGGGTTCAGTCCATCAGAAGAGGGTAGACCTTCCTTCTGTCACATGGGCCTTAAAATTTCATCTTGGAGTGCCTTCTTTCTTCAACCAACAATGAAAAGAACACAAAAGAATAGAGAATAAAAAAGGAAACCATCAAGAGACAGTATGTTTTTTCTCTTAACCCTCCTCAGATAAGGAAGTCTAGTACACTCAGACTCTGTGGATTTCCCTTTGAGCCCTATGCTGCTAGAGGTTGCCCCACAGGTAGTGATAGTCAATATCAATAAAATGAATGACAGCTCATGCTGGTGAGGATGTGTAATGGGGGAATACTCATTCATTGCTAGTGGGAGTGCAAACTTGTACAGCCACTATGGAAAGCAGTGTAGTGTAGCATGAATCTTAAAAGTTCTTATTAATAAAATCAAACCTGAGCCAGGTATTGAGGTGAACTGGAAGATCAGAAAGACAGAACAAGTCACAGCTAACCTCACCTGGCCAACTTCTCAGCTGATCTTGTTTCCTCAGACTGGAAGCCTCTGTCCTCATATCCAAATGGCTCTCAGATGAACTGTGCTGCTCAAAACCTAAAAGCTTAACCAGCCAAATGCTTCTAGTTCCTGGTCTTCACGCCTTATATACCTTTCTGCTATCTGCCATCACTCCCTGGGATTAAAGGCTCGTTTTCTGGGATTAAAGGCGTGAGTCACCATGCTTGGCTGTATCCTTGAACAGATAGATTTCTGCCTCTGGAATGCTAGGATTAAAGGCATGTGCTACCACTGCCTATCCTAAGTATCTAGTGGCTTTTCTGTTCTCTGACCCCAGATAGGTTTATTAGGGTGCACAATATTATGGGGAACACAATGCCATCACAGTGTAGTGGTTCCTCAGGAAGATGAGAATCAAATGTCATCAAGATCCAGTTATACCACTCTTGGACATATACCTAAAGGACACTTGCTCAACCATGTTCATTACTGCTCTATTCATAATAGCCAGAAACTGGAAACAACCCAGATATCCCTCAAAAGAACAATGGATATAAAGAAAATGGTACATTTACACTATAGAGTATTACTCAGCCATTACAAAAAAAAATGAAATCATGAAATTCACAGGCAAAGGTATGGAACTAGAAAAAAAATCATACTGAGTAAGGTAACTTAGACCCAGATACGGTATGTATTCACTTATATGTGGATTTTTACTGTTAAGTCATTGACAAGCAAGCTACAAACTGCATAACCACAGAGGTTAGACAGAGTGTAAGGCACTAGAGGAAGGACAAATCTTCCTAGGATAGACAGCTTTGGATGGGTGGGTGGGTGGGGGCCACAATGGAAGGATCAGATAGGGAGAGGGAAGGAAGAGAGGGGCAAGGAAGGGACTATGGGGAGGGACAGCTAAAACTAAGGGCATTTGAGGGGATGCATAGAAACAACACAGTAGACGCTTCCTATTACACATACATATGTGAGGGTGATCTAAATAAATCACCAAACAACAGGGAGACAGAGCCCCAACTGGACATGTCTCGTCATCAAATGAAACTTCCAGTATCGGGAATGGGTTGCATCTAATTGAGTTCTTTAGGGCCAAAAGGATCCCACGGAACCACCAAACAACCCAGGCTATTGCCACGGCTACTGGTAGATCTCCACAAACTGACAATAAGGTCCTATTACTGAAGACAACACTTAGACAACTTACTGAACATAGAGAAGTGGAGCTGGTGCCTACCTAGAGATTTCACCCCTCCAGATTAGTACTCATAGTACTGGAAGGTTCTCTGCATGCTACCAAAGGAGAAAGGTAAACACCAACCCAGCTACAAGCCCTTCGATCTATAAGAGTGACCTGCCTACAAGATATGCGGGTGCAATAGCAGTACAATTATTTGTACAGTTATTTGTAGGAATAACCAACCGATATATGATTTGAGTTAATCATCAGTTAACCTATCCACTCCATGAGATGGAACCCATGCCCAGTGCTGCTTGGGTGGCCAATAACCTGAGATTAAATAGGGTAGGGACCTAGGGGGAAACCAATTACTACTGTTCTGATAAACGAACGTAGCAATAAAATGACTCCTAGTAACATTCTGCTTTACTCATAGACCAATGTCTTGCTTAGCCATCAGAGAAGCTACCTCCTGCAGCAGATAGGAACAAATACAGAAATCCACAGGCAGAAATATGCAGAGTGACAGACCTTGGGACACTCAGCCCTAAAATGGATGTCCTCCATCAACTCTCCCCTTAGAGCTCAGTGAAACTGTGGAAAAGCAGGCAGAAAGTGTAAGAGCTGGAGGGGATGGAGGACAGCAAGGAATCAAGGCCTTTTAGACACAACAAGGCTGGCACACATATGAACTCACAGAGACTGTGGCAACATGTACAGCACCTGCGTGGGTCTGCACCAAATGAGGTCCTAGAGCTGAAAAAAGTGGACACACGCCTCTATCCCTAAACCCAGAAGCTAGCTCCACTTGATAGTCATTTGCTAATAAAAAATTAGTTTTCTCCAAGTGAGTCTCATTGGGGAAAAAAAACCACTCCCTTTTTTTTTTTTTTTTGGACTTTACAGGTCCTTTGTGTATATATTATGGCTTCCAGTTTGGCGGTCTTATTCTATGTATGCAAACATACATTGTTTCTGTGTCTATATGCATTTCTTGTGCCTTTCCTTCAGCTCTTTATTTGTTTGGCTGTTTTGTCACATTCCGATTTGTTTCTTTTTATTTTTTTTTATTATTATTCCTTAGATTTTTTTCCATTTGTTTTCTAACAAGAGACAGAAAGGGTATGGCTCTGGATAGGAGGGGAGGTAGGGAGAAACTGGAAGGTGCAGAGGGAGGGGAAACTAACCAGAATATATTATATGAAGATTCTATTTTCAATAAAAGAAAAAAAGAGGACATATGCATACATGTATGCATACACATGCATGCACACACACAAAACTCACCGCTGCCTTCAAAGCTTGATCCAGGTCTTCAAGAAGGTCCTTTTCATCCTCTAGGCCCACAGAGAGTCGGATCAGTGTGTCACTGATCCCAAGGGTAGCTCTGTCCTTCTCAGGCACAGATGCATGGGTCATGATTGCTCTGGAAGTAAATGTGAAGAAATGTTATCATTGGATTGTGCCAGGTATATTTCTAGCTAAAATGTTGGCAGTTATCTTCAGGTCTCTTTCTGCTCCTATTTTTAAACTTTTATAATTTTTCAAAGGCAAACAGAAAATAAGCAATTATCAAACTTATCTCCTTTTGTCATGATTTTATTACTCACATGCCATAAAAATGGGTTAAGGACAGCAGTTTGGTACCCTGGTAGGGGAGAAACCAGTCACCTGTGGACTGGACCACCTGTCTGAATGAGACTTTAGCTGAGATCAAATTGCTCCTATACTGCTCTTTAAAAGAAACATCCTTCTGAGGAAGATCCAGGAAAGGCAACCCCAGCCAGCAGCAGGCAACAGAAATTCTAGTGCAGAACACATGCAAGAAAGGACTGAAAAATTTTTCCAAACTAGAAGCTGATCATTCTCAAGAGGTGCAAAGTCAGGCTTCCACCGCATCATGCACTACAGGAAGAAACGAGGTGTTCTCCTTACATTAGAGGATGAAGGAGGCACTGGAGAAAAGCAGACAAACCTACCCAAGAAGTCCTGGCAAGATGGTTATGGAAGCTCAAGGGAGGGTCTGAATAGACTGAGAACCACACAGGGGAGGCTGTGATACCTAGATCCAGGGTGTGTTCTGCTGCCAGTTCGCTTATTTCCCTGTGCTCTGCAATTGAACCAACAACCCTCAGACCCACGAAAAAAAGCACTTGAGCTGTATAGTACATAAACAGTATCTTTTGTTGCTCTAAGGAAGGTTTTTTTATTTTTATTTTTATATATGTGTACATGATTGGTAGGAGGGGCACAGGATGTGTGTAGAGGTCAGAGGACAAATTTGTGCAGTCCGTTTGGTCCTTCAACCTTTACGTGGGTTCTGGGATTTGTGGTGATATATTGTGTACCCTAATAAATTTGCCTGAAGATCAGAGAACAGAACAAGCCACTAGATTAAACATAGAACCCAGGCAGTGGTGGCACATACTTTTAATCCTAGCACTCAGGAGATCTATGTGGATCTCTGTGAGTTCAAAGCCACTCTGGACTACATGAGATTGACTCAGTCTAGGAGAGAAACAGAGCCAGGCAGTGGTGGCACACACCTTTAATCCCAATACTTGAGAGTCACACATTTTTAATCCCAGCACTAGGAAAGTTGAAATAGGAAATGAGGGTAGGGAAGAAAGGTATATAAGGCAAGAGGAGACAGAAACTAAAATCTTTCAGCTGAGAAAAGCTTTTCAGGCTGAGGAGTCCTAGAGGTAACAGGTGGCTTGTTCCTTTGTCTCTCTGATCGTTCAGCATTCACCCCAATATCAGGCTCAGAGTTTGTTGTTTTGTTTTTTTTTTTTTTATAAAAAAAGACCACTTAGCAATTCATGTTACGGGGATTGGACTCAGGTTGCCAGGCTTATGCAGCAAGTGCCTTTATCTGCTGAGCCATCTTGCTGGCCCTCTAAGGAAGTGTCCAGGTGGTTTTTGTTTGAATATAAGCTAGAGTCATCTGAGAAGAGGAAACCATAGTTGAGAAAATGCCTCCATAAGACTGGCCTATAGCCGGGCGGTGGTGGCGCAGGCCTTTAATCCCAGCACTTGGGAGGCCAGCCTGGACTACCAAGTGAGTTCCAGGAAAGGCGCAAAGCTACACAGAGAAACCCTGTCTCGAAAAACCAAAAAAAAAAAAAAAAAAAAAAAAAAGACTGGCCTGGATGCAAGCCTGTGGGGAATTTTCTTAATTAATGCGTGGGCTGGGCCCACCCGCATCAATCATTAATTAGGAGGTGCCACCCCTGAGCAAGTAATCATGAGACATAAGGACAAAAGCACAAGAAACAGAGACCCACTCATTTGCACACTCAGGATCCCCATAAAAACACTAAACTGGTAGCTATAATATATACACAAAGAATCTGTAGCATAAAGAGAGAGAAAATATGTAAATAAAATAAACGTAAACAAAAAAGATTTAAAAAAAAAATGAACGGAAAAGCCTTGACATAATGGTATGAAACAAGGAACCTCCAAAGATGCTGCTGAGTTCATTCTCTGTTGGCCACCTACTGCTTGGTGTGAAGCTATTAATTTTTTTCAATATTTGAAAGATTTATGTTGTCTAAAGAGAAACCAGATACATAATATGAAAATTTTTTTACATACAGTTTACTTTGTAAAGATAGTGGCAAGGAGGGAGGAAGGGAGAGAGAGAGAGAGAGAGAGAGAGAGAGAGAGAGAGAGAGAGAGAGAGAGAGAGAGAGAGAAGAGTTAAAAGTAATCATTTTCTTATCCTAAAATTAATAATTTTATCAACGTCTAAGGGGGAAAATGATTAAAATCTGAAGCCTTAAGACACTGAGCATTCATAAGCTGTTGGGCAGCCTTTTCTAGAACACTGGCTGCCCATCCTGGAGTGGGTTATCAGGTTCCTAAAATGAAGACACTGAAAAATGTTCTCCAGCGGCAGGAACATTCCAGAATTTCACAGGTTTTAGAAAGGTTGTAAAAACACTGGTAATCAGCACAGTATTTTTTGTTTTCAAATAAAATACCATGAGTAAGAAGGGTGGACACACACACCTTCTTTTCTAAATATGAAAGACTCTACTGATCATAATGGTAAACCCATGATTTTAAACCCATTTTCAGAAAAGTAAATGATTCTACTATTAGAGGAATATTAGTGATTATATGGAAATGAGGTGTGCTAGGGATTAGCAGTGCTTTGATGCCTGCAGCCATTACTTTTTAATGAGTAGGAATTTCACGTAACTTCTATCTTAAAAGTATTTCATAAGCATCAGTTAAAGTACATAAAGTTATTTTTAATTAGGGAATACTAGAAAAGTATGGACTGTGAGAGTTCAGAAAGGTAAGTCTTCATGGACTTAGTTCCAATTCATGAGACAAAAACAGAAAATCAAAATAAAAAAGGAGGGAGGAAGGAGGGAGATAAGGAGGAAATAAGGGAAGAGCAAGTATTTAAAAATGCAACAGATGCATAAAGTAGTCCATAGCAAAAGACATTTTTTAATACTGTAATATGAGCCAGGACATTAACTCAGGCATTTCCCCCACACTCTCTAAACTGAGATTTAAAAAGGGTAATATCCTGGCTAGTTTTGTGCCAACTTGACATAAGCTAGAGTCATCTGAAAAGAGGGAATCTCAATTGAAAAAAAATGCCTCTATAAGATTCAGCTGTAAGGCATTTTCTTAATTAGTGTTTGATCAGGGAGAGTCCAGCCCATTGTGAGTGGTACCATCCCTGATCTGGTGGTACTGGGTTCTATAAGAAAGCAGGCTGAGCAAACCATGAGGAGCAAGCCAGTAAGGAGCTTCTCTCCATGGCCTCTGCATCAGCTCCTGCCTCCAGGTTCCTGCCCTATTTGAGTTCCTGTCCTGACTTCCTTCAATGATGAGTAATGATGTGGAAGTAAAAGCCAAATAAACCCTTTCCTCCCCAACTTGCTTTTGGTCATGGTGTTTCATCATAGGAATAGAAACCCTGACTGAGACAGGTACAAAGTGTTTTCCGAGGATAAAGAGTTAACATACGGTATCTGGGTGGGAGGCTAACCCAGTATACAGACTCTATTTCCTCTCCTCTATATTGCTCCAATCACAAGAGTGTTGGGAGGCCCAAAATGAAGGTTGACCAAACAGACAAGTCCTGACCTAAATATACTTATCTAGTCTGAGAGCTGAGCAACATTAAACTCAACCCCTAATAAATCAGGAAACATCCATTTTTAAGGAGAAAGCCTTAAAGCAATAAACATTTCCTCCTTTGAGAAGCAAATTGATTGCACATGAGTGTGCCCTGTTGCGCTCACAGACCCTCTCTCAGGCATCTTCCTGAAGGACTGGGGAAGAAACATGCCATCTGACCTGCTTCAAAGTTGACTTAGATATATTTCCTTAAACTTTGTGAATCGGACTCTCTCTACAACTGTAAATGGGAAGTATGCCTACACACAGGACTTTGAATCTTTAATATAGTCCTCCCAAGACACATCATTTCTGAATGTGTACAAAAATATCTCTCTACAGCTGAATGTGGTGGTGTGCACCTAAAAGCCAAGCATTTGGAGCTAGATATAAAACAGTCAGTAATATAATGTCATCCCAGGCTGCAGAACAAGTTTTAGAACAAATTGAGCTGTTTGTCCTGCCTCAAAAAAGTAAAAACAAACCAAAAAACCCCCAAAGTCATGTTTACTGATAACAGGTGAACAAAAAGAAGAAGTAGTGATGCCATATTCCTTTAGTAACAGCTATAATAAATGGTCACCTAGCTCCAGACTGTGGAATATTCCTTTACACTGTGTGGATATATGTTGCTGTGATTGGTTTAATAGAGGAGCTGACTGGCCAATAGTTGGACAGGATGAGGTTATGTTGGAGAACCAGACTTAGGAAAATGGGAAGAAAAGCAGAGTCTGAGGCGTTTCAGTGAGATGGAGAAGAAACGAAATAAACATGCTGTGCTGAAAAAAAGTACCAAATCACATTGGCAATGCATAGATAAAAATATGGGCTAATTGAAAATGTAAAGAGTTAGCTAATAGCTGGGTGGCGGTGGTGCACGCCTTTAATCCTAGCACTCGGGAGGCAGAGCCAGGTGGATCTCTGTGAGTTCAAGGCCAGCCTGGTCTACAGAGCGAGATCCAGGACAGGCACCAAAACTACACAGAGAACTCAAAAAACAAGAGTTAGCTAGTAACAAGCTTGAGCTATTGGCTGAGCATTTATAATTAATATTAAGCCTCTGTGTGGTTACTTGGGAGCAGCTTGCAGGACAGAAACTTCCACCTACAAATACCACCAAACATCTGGCACCTATATCCACATAAGACCTAAGAAAGCTTAAAAAAGTTTCTAAACGCACAAAAACGGAGCCAAATGTGGTTTCCTAGTCTCATGTCTCTCATGCCAGCTGTGGTACAGAGACATGTCTCCCAGCCACTGCCTGTGGGCTTCACGCCATGAACTAAGCTGCATGGTAGGTTTAAGTTTTGCTCATTCAGACAGAAAAGATTACAGATAAGCAGTAAAGACAAATCCAGACCAAAAAACCTCTAGACAGGTTACAGTGTGTTTAAAAATATACATAGGCTTGGGAGAGAAAGACAAAGGTTATAAACAGTCACAGATTAAAAAAATAGTTTAAAAATAGTAAATCCCTTAAAAAGGGAATAAAGTAATATAAAATATAATAAGCCACATAAAGAAGGGAGTCTAGATTCTGTTTGTTATTATGTTTTTTTTTAGATTGTCTGACTACTAATGAGGGAACAATGGCTCCTAAGACACACTGGATTATACCAATCTATATATTTTTAAAACATCTTGACTTCAAAATGGAAGTCAAAGATATCTTACTTCGGGGAAGAGGCTATGCTTTTATTTCCACAGGAGATGAGAGGCTGTGGATTTGTTCCAGGTTGGTATGGAGCAGTTTGACTAGAAAAGACCACCTGAAAATTCTGACTACAGACATAAAGAAATAAACCTAAAAAAAAAAAACAAAACACAAAACGTATATTTTATCTGCTCAAATATAAAACAACGCCGGGCAGTGGTGGCACACGCCTTTAATCCCAGCACTCGGGAGGTAGAGCCAGGCGGATCTCTGTGAGTTCGAGGCCAGCCTGGGCTACCAAGTGAGTTCCAGGAAAAAGGCACAAAGCTACACAGAGAAACCCTGTCTCGAAACCCCCCCCCAAAAAAACCCCAAAATCAAATATAAAACAAAAAAATCATCTTTAACTGACTTGTACACACCATATATTCAATACTTGTAATGTATGTTACCTTTAAAAGTATGTATTTTCAGAACAAGGGGACCAAACACCAATGAAAATGGATGGCCCCGGTCCAGCATCTCAGAATGCCTCTTTTGTTTTGTTTTGTTTTGTTTTTGTTTTTGTTTTTTGAGACAAGGTTTCTCTGTGCAGCTTTGCGCCTTTCCTGGAACTCACTCTGTAGCCCAGGCTGGCCTCGAACTCACAGAGATCCGCTTGCTTCTGCCTCCCTACTGAGATTAAAGGCATGCGCCACCACCAACCGGCTTCAGAATGTCTCTGTTACAGTCTCCTCAGAATTCTGCATCCAAAACAGCTTCAAGGCTGCTGGATGAGATGGTCCAGGCCCACAGACTACTCCAGCCAAGACCTAACAATTATCATGATGTTCTCAAGGTTCCCCCAAAGATACTAGTACCCACAAACAACAGGAAGTAGTCTACAGAATTATGTCCACATTCCAAAAGATGGGTTATGGATGTTTATTATCATTTAAGGGGGGGGGTTGGTTATAAGTTGTTATTGATAATGGTCAGGAAAAAACTGAACGAAGGAGATTAGATTCAGGGATCTTATTCTAAAAAGAAAAAGGGGGATATAGAAATGACAGGATAAAGGGGTGGATTATTGATCTACTTTTAAACTAAAAAAAGCAACTACTAGTCTTAAATATTTTACATTGGTGTGGATTTTGGCTTATTAATACAAATTTAAAGTTACTTTTGTTATACTCTTGTTTAGGGTATTGTACTTATGCAACTCATTTAAAAATGTAATGTGCAATTTAGAAATACAGATTAATAGTAGTTACCTATAATAATCAAACTTATAATCATGTTAGGTATGTTTTCAAGGTCATACACAGATATATTTATATAGATAGACAGACAGATAGATAGATAGATAGATAGATAGATAGATAGATAGATAGTCTTTGAACACTTCAAAGAACTACAGCATATGGCATTTACTATGTTTAATAACCTAGGGCTTTTCATGACAGTGAGACAAGTCTGCCCCTGACAGAATCAATTTATTTCAAAAGAAGATGATGGGCACTGAAGAACCTTCATGTGGAGTTTGCTTTCTTTATGGCAAAAGCTAGCCATTTGGGCAAAGAAACTGCCTTACCTTGACTGCTTGACAGTATATTGTCCAAACTGGACCAACAGAAGACAAAAAAAAAGTGACTGCCAAACTTTGCCAAGACAAAGCAGGACAGTTCTTCAAAATTCCCTGCTTCTCCAAGACTGTACAATGCAAAAAAGAAAGAATCTCCAACTAGTGGTGCTGGCATAACTAGATGTCAACATGCAGAAGATTGCAAATGGATCCATATCTATTAGCATGCACAAAACTCAAGCCCAAGTGCATCAAGGACATCAACATAAATCCAGTTACACTGAACCAAACAGGAAGTAGTCTTGAATGCATTGGCACAGGAGACCCTTCTTAAATATAACACCAGGAAGGAGCACAGACACTGAGAGCAACAGTTAATAAATGGGACCTCCTGAAACTGAGGAGCTTCTGTAAGGCAAAGGACAGAGTAAATAAGACAAAAAGGCAGCCTAAAGAATGGGAAAAGAGCTTCACCAACCCCACATATGACAGAGGGCTGATCTCCAAATTACATAAAGAACTCAAGAAACTAGACATCAAAAAACCAAACAATTCAATTAAAAAATGTGCCACAGAGCTAAACAGAGAATTATCAACAGAAGAATCTCAAATGGTCAAAAGACATTTAAAGAATTGCTCAACATCCTTAGTCATCAGGGAAATGCAAATCAAAACAACTCTGAGATACCATCTTACACCTGTCAGAATGGCTAAGATCAAAAACACTGAAGACAGCTTATGTTGGAGAGGATGTGGAACAAGGGGAACACTCCTCACTGTTGGTGGGAGTGCAAACTTGTACAGTCACTTTGGAAATCAGTATGGCAGTATCTCAGAAAACTGGGAATCAATCTAACTCAAGACACAATGATTCCACTCTTGGGCATATACCCAAGGAATGCTCAATCATACCACAAGGACACTTGTTTAACTATGTTCATAGCAGCATTATTCGTAATAGCCAGAACCTGGAAATGACCTAGATGCCCCTTAACTGAAGAATGGATAAAGAAAATGTGGTACATATACACAATGGAGTATTACTCAGTTGTAAGAAACAATGACATCATGAATTTGCAGGCAAATGGACGGAACTAGAAAATATCATCCTGGGTGAGGTAACCCAGACTCAAATGGACAAACATGGCATGTACTCACTCATAAGTGGATACTTTATCCTTAGCTAACCAGACTACAACTCAAGCTCCAGAGAAGATAGGTAACAAGAAGGACCCTAAGAGGGACACATGGATCACCCTGGGAAAGGGAAATAGATGAAATCTTCTGAGTAAACTGGAGGTGAGGGAGGGATTAGAGGGTGAGGGGATGGGGAATGAGAACATAAGGGAATGGGATGGTCAAGCTGGAACATGGATAGAGTGGGAGAGTAATGAGAGAGATACCATGATGGAGGGAGACATCATGGGGATAGGGAGAAACCTGGTGGTAGGGAAATTCCCAGGAATCCACAAGGATGACTCCAGCTTAGACTACTAGCAATAGTGGAGAGGGTGCCTGAGTTGGCCTACCCAGGTAATTAGATTGGTGAATACCCTAACTGTCATCATAGAGCCTTCATCCAGTAACTGATGGAAACAGATGCAGAGAACCACAGCCAAGCACCAGACCGAGCTCCAGAAGTCCAGTTGAAGAGAAGGAAGAGGGTGTCTATGAATAAGGGGCATCACAATGAGGAAATACAGAGACAACTGAACCAAGCTAGTGGGAACTCATGAACTTTAGACTAACAGCTGTGGAGCCTCCATGGGACTGGACTAGGTCCTCTGCACAAGCGAGACAGTTGTATAGCTTGATCTGCTTAAGGGGCCCCTGCAGAGACTGGTGGACTGGAATTTCAGTACTGTGGAGAGATTGGAACTTTTTTAGGTTCAGAGGCTAATTAATTTATCTTGGGCTAGTGTCAGCCTTTTGGAACAGCCATTCCTTGTCCTACTCTGTATCTGAACTAACATCATGTGATAATAAAAACCTCTTAGAAGCTATTAGCAAAACACTAGCTTCCACTAATCCAAGAACTACGGATGTTATCAACAGCATCTTTGGACTATAACACAGCTTTCACAGTCTTGTGCCTGACTCTGATGCTCTCACCATCTTGTTGTGCCCGACTTTCTGATGTACCCACCAATGTATTTTAAACATGCCTTATGACTTTCTTTGTTCTGTAAAACTATAAAAACCTTGTGAAACTACTTCCACATTGGAACATGGAATTTGGGTTAACTCAGTCTGTATTCCTGGGTCCAGGTTCTTAATCCCTTTAAGATGAGAGCTACGGTTTTTTTTGGTTTTTTTTTTTTAATTATTTATTTATTATGTATACAATGTTCTGCCTGCGTGTATGCCTGCAGGCCAGAAGAGGGCACCAGATCTCGTTATTGATGGTTGTGAGCCACCATGTGGTTGCTGGGAATTGAACTCAGGACCTCTAGAAGAACAGCCGGTGCTCTTAACCTCTGAGCCATCTCTCCAGCCCGAGTTACGGTTTTTATGTCAATAGATGAGAGAAGTACTCGAGACAGATGCAGCAGCTCAACATGAGACACAATGCAAAGAAATCAAGATAATCAACTATTAAAAATAAAGATTAGATAAGTGAGATGTAGTAATAACCAAGAGAAAAAAGATCACACTTACGGGAGCTCGGCTAGACTCTCATATCCTCCCAGACTCTCAGCCAGAGTAAACACCTAGCAAAGAAAACAGGAATTTAGATTGCCCGATAACATAGTGCTAAATTCTGAAAATAAATGTTTTTGATGAAATTTCTCTGGCTCAGGAGGGATGAAGAGTGATAGTAACTATGAATAAACCAAGAATCAAGCAAGATACTAAGAAAAAGTCAAAATAATGTAAGGCAATTAGATGTACTGCCTTCAGACCTTTAAAACACGAAAAGTTGCTGGGATCAGTAGCCCAGAACTGTCATCCTAGCACTCAGAAGACAAGAGGCAGGAAGATTTCTGTGAGTCTGATGCCAGCCTGAGCAACATCGTGAGACCTTACCTCAGTGAACTATACAAAGGTTTTAGGGTTGTAGCTCAGTGGTAGAGAGCTTGCCTGGCATGTACAAGACCCTGAGTCTCATCCCCAGAACTGCAAAATCAGTTATCAGTCAATCAGTGAATCAATCAGTAAATCAATCAATCAACAATAAACTGAACAAAGTCAGTTTCCTACATCACCATGGTTTGGATGATGACTAAACAGCCTGCAAGTATTAAATATTATGCTTAAGACAGATGGTACCACCTTATGGTACCACCCAGAGGGAAAGACAGAAGGGTCGCTGCAAGTTCAAGGCCAGCTTGGTCTACATAGCAAGGACTAGGGTTCTAGACTATAGAATGAGTAAGGCCCTGTCTTAAAAGCAAAGCAACAGTAACAATAAATACATAATATCATACTTAAATATTATTTACGTGAGCTCTAAAACCAAACAGTTTACTTTTAGACCTGCCTCTGTTGTTTCTCTTTAAATAAATACCTATAAATGTCTACCATTATCTACACTAGTCAATATGTGACACTTTTTTTTTTTCAAGACAGGGTTTCTCTGTTTACTAGTACTGGTTGTCTTGGGACTCCCTTTGGAGACAAGGCTGGCCTTGAACTCACAGAGATCAGCCTGCCTCTGCCTCCTGAGGGCTGGGATTAAGGGCGTGGGCCATCCATCCAGCTATGCAGCACCTCTTAAATTAACACCTCCTTTCACTGCCTATGGAGAAGGGGAAACTTCTTAGTCCAATAGTTGCTTTGGTTTGCACATGGTCTGTCCCGAGGTTCCCTGTGTGATGTGAACAAGGGGCAGGTCCTGCAGAGTACAGTCTCTCAGAGGATAACTATCAAGGGTGCCACCCTGATTCATGTTCATTGGATGGGTAGTGTCTAAAAATCCTGTACACTCTTGCTCCTGTCTTCTTGCTCCCACATGCCCTTTCTACTTCTGCCACATGGATGCTGGCAGGCGGCTTGATCCCTTCAGCCACCAGAACTACACACTGAGTGACTTGCCTGGTTTGGGTGAGGTGGGTCCTACCAAAGTTCATGGGCTGGAGTCAAGGTTCTCAGTGCGACATGTTTTTAAGAAGTGGGGGTTGATGGGAGGCTTTGAGGCCATTGAGGAGAGAACTAACCAAGATACTGCCGACTGCCATCAGAATAAGCCTGCCCCCAACTGCCATTGGCCTTCCTGACTGATGACTGCTCTTACTCCTCCACATGATGCCATCTGACACTAGGCCCTCAGCACAAGGAAGGGGCCACTTGACTCTGACCTTATGCTTTTGGTCTTGAACAGTCAGTGGAGTAAACCTTTATTTATAAAGTAGCCTGTCTCTGCATTTTGTGATAGTAATGAAAAACAGGCCAGTATATCTAGTCTTGGGTATTATAGCAGCAGTAAGGACTAAGATTATATTACAGTGACACAAAATTTACTCCTTTTTTTGAGGCAGATTCTTACTGTGTTGCCTAGCTTCATCTCAAATTTATAGGATCATGTGATCCTCCTGCTTCGGTGTCCCAGATAGCTAGAACTGCCTAACTTGATTTTACTAAATGTCTGAAGTTAATACTCTCCTTCTGATCTTATTAAATTTGAGCCAGGAGAACTTTGCTCTGTCTTATGGGAGTGGCCTGAAAGCACAAAGCTTGGGAGTGAGTATGAGCCACTATAAGGAAGTCTCAGAAGAGTTTTGAGCTCACCTTTAGATTCTTGAGGAAAGCCTCGGCGTGCCGCAGAGCACCCTTGATGTAGAAACTGACCATCCCCGGGCAGCCTGTGCACTGGCGCTTGGCCAGCTCATGCTGAGGGTGAGAGGGTAGCCCTGCAAACACAAAGCACAAAAGAAGTCTCTTTCTAAAGCCACACATACAACTTCAAGGGAACAAGTCCACTGTCCCCAAAGTCAGCTTCAAGTAAGCCTGACAACAGGCTTACAGACATCTCTTCTGTATCTTCCCATGCCCTGGCCACGTCTCCTTTCTTGACTCCATCAGCAAGTGCTCTTTCATTCAGGACCTTTGCATGTCTGGATTCCCTTGTTAATTTCATCCTTCTGGAATTCCTTAATTAATATATTTTAGGAACAAGACTATTTCCATGAGCAAATCCACTTATTTTATTAATATTGGATTCATATTCCCAGAGAAAATCCAGGCCCAACAGTTGTTGGATGCCTCTGGAAATACTCAACCATGAGCGTTTAACAAGTGCCACCCACTTCTTGGGGCATAAATCAGAGCCCTTCTCTCTCCCTGTATCCAAAATGTACCCCAGCAAACAGTGTTTACCAAATGACAAGTAGAGGTCTGAGCTCATACATTTCTACTCTGACTTATCCAATTTCCTTGAAGACAAATCTTAACTACCCTACACTCATGATCCCATAGCCACAGGATCTAAGAACAAGGTTTCACAAGCTCATGGACAGTTTAACTGGTCACTGGTAGCATAAACTCAAGGGGTGACAATGTGTCTGCTAATCCACCAAAAAAGGGCAGTGAACTGAAAAGAACCAGGGGGATTCTGGTACATTAAGGCTCAGTGGGACAAGCTTATGTCATTTATAGTGTTGAACTAATGACTGGCAGGGTCATCAGCCAGTCAACCAAGAATTATCCTGTAATTGAAGTATACGCAAGCCTCAGAGTTAAAAACCACAGAAGCATCTAGCATGTGAGGCTGTTCTTAGCACCTGACATCCACTGCCTTCAGGCCAGCATCTTGTCTATCCACTCTCCACCATGTCATTCCAGAGCCTGATACAAAGTGGCAATAACCAATAAACAAATGTAAAATTATATGAAAACAGAAACTCACAAAGAATGACCCATATAAAGTCTCAATCTAGACAGAGCTGCTTATAACTCAGGTTGACATACCAGGATAAATAACCTTTTCTACCCGGGGATTCGATTCCAAGAAACGGGCCACTGCCATCCCACTCTTGAAGTGTTTCTCCATCCGGACCTGTAGAGTCTTCAGGCCTCGGCAGCAGAGGTAGCAATCAAAAGGGGAAGGAACCGCTCCAATTGCTGGAAAGAGAACAAATATTGGATTATATGGTGATATTTTATTTGTGCTGAAATGTGACTTTATTTGTATGTTAATAAATAAAGTTGCCTGGGGGTCAGAGCTAAGAGCAAGCCATTTAGCAGAAGTCTGGCAGTGGTAGCACATGCCCTTAATCCCGATCACATGGCAGGCAGAGTTTGTGTGTTCAAGGACATAGCCAGCTTGGAGACACACGCCTTTAATCTCAATACCAATCATAGAGACCTGGAGGTCTGTATAGACAGGCAGTGACTGAGGAGGTCATGTGGTTGGGTTTACAACCAATGAGAAGGCAGAACAGAAACTCAATAAAAAGACAGACACATAGGAAGTAGGTCTCTTTCTCAGGGGAAGGACAGCAGCGGCATCGGCTGGTAAGAAGGTGGTCTCAGCTTTTGGCTACTGCTCTGATCTCTGGGCTTTTAACTCTGCATTTGTCTCTGTGTTTCTTATTTAATAAAACCATTCAGAATTACATCTACAGGGTTAGCTTGAAGACACCACAGGGCCCAAGGAGTCCTCTGGTTCTTCTTTTTCAATATAGTGACTCAGAAAAATCTAAATATGAAGCTCAATGTTTGTGTTTTAGGAAGAAATTGCTATGTTGAACAGGAAGCATGAAATGAAAACAAAGATGCACTTAGAGAAATGTGCTTTAAATCAGAGAAATGGATATCTAATGACTAGGAAACCAAAATGAGGCTTTCATCTATGAGGAGACAGTCTTTTATGATTCAGTGACATGACATGTCACATAGTGTGGGCTTTCACATCTCTGAAATACACCACAGAGAAAATCTACAGTGTGGTCATGTTTGTTGCTACACAATGAGCTAACAAACACATACCTTATTTATGTTTTTAAAGATTTTATTTTTATTTTAAATTATATATACATATATATATGTGTGTGTATATATATATATATACACACACATATATATATGCTGTACATATGTGTGTGTGTGTGTGTATTTGTGCATCTGAGTGCAGTGACTGCAGAGGCCAGAAGAGCAAGTCAGATCCTGGGAGCTATAGTTACAAGTGATTGTGAACCCTGACATATGGGTGCTGGGAACTCTGCAAGAGTTCTCTGCAAGAGCAGCTCCAGGTCTTAGAGGCTGAGCCAACTCATTCCTACTTATTTATCAAGCAGTCAGTCAACTCCCCTCCTCAACCCCTTTATTACTTTAATAGTGATTTCTAGAAGAGTATTTAATTTTTAATCATGTCTGTCTCTTATCTATCAGAGTGCAGTGATCACCTATACTTGAGGCAAACTGAACAACCTACCAGGAACGGTATTTAATGTACAGAAAGGTGCATGTTTAGGTCTTCAGTATTACTCAAACTTAATCACCATTCCAGGTGCTTATGTACATGAAAGCCAAAATTTCAGTGTTTAAAACAATCCACTGAGTCTTAAAAACTCACTTCATTTTAACAATTTTGTTAAGCAAATAACAAAAGTCACTCCTTAAATGATGTCATGAAGTCATAAAAACTAGTTATGCTATAACTCTATTTGTTTGTTTGTTTATTTATCTGAGACAGGGTCTCACTTTGTAGCCCTGACTGACTTGAACCTCACTATGTAGACCAGGCTGGACTTGAACTCTCAGAGATCTTCTTGCCTATCTGCTTATCAAGTGCTGGGTGTAACTATGTTTTTATGACCTTTTTTCCTTCTCTCTCTCTCTAGTACAAATATCAAATGTAGACTCTGGTGGCATAACAAGAATCCAGGCTTAGAGGGGTGGAGAGATGGGCTAGTACACAGAATGCTTGCTGTACACGAATAAGGGCCTGAGTTAGGATCCCAGCAACCAAGCAGGAATCTGGGCATGGCTGTGTGCACCTGTAACCCCAGTATGGTGCTGGATAGAGACAGGGGGATCACTGGTACTTAGCTATAGGTTTGAGTAGTGACCCTGTCTCAAAGGACTAAGGTGGAGATTGTCCGCTTCTGGACCGCACATACACACACCACATACATAAAGAAACCCAGGCTTTTGACCACTTACAATTTTGCAGGAAACGAAGCCGATTATTAAGGTCATCAGAATTAACAGACACTAATCCCATGATAACATCACTGTGGCCTAAAACAAAACAAAAACACCACCATCAACAACATTTCCTGTTTATTCTCCATTTAATAATTTCCAAACTGTGATTTTTCTTTTGAAAAAGGCCTAAGGGCAAAGCCTTATCTTTGATCGTTTATGTGAACTTTATCCAGTTTTATAGCAGTGACTATATCTAACGCAGTAAAGTGAAAATCATATAAACAGCCAGTGTCTCCAAGCTGCCAGCAAAACGAAAGCATACTCCTTACAGCAAACCCTATGAGCCATGAACGCAGTTTTGTTCATGAGACATGAGATTCTGAGTGTGGTGATGTATACCCCAGTGCCTGAGACACAGGGAGATCAGAAGTTCAAGGCTAGCCTTGGCAAATAGTGAGTTCCAGACTAGCCTCAACTACAGTAAAATCAAAGCTCTTCTTTTATTTTACTTTTCAACACAAACCACAAATAAATCCTACACAATAGCATAAGGGTCCAAAATGCCAGGCCCTTGCCACTGTCACCTACCTATGGAGAAGAGGGTTTAAGATTCAGGCTATGAGCTAGGCGGTGGTGGCACATGCCTTTAATCCCAGCACTCGGCAGGCAGAGGCAGGTGTATCTCTGTGAGTCTGAGGCCAGCCTGGTCTATAGAGTGAGTTTCAGGACAGCCTTGGCTGTTACACAGAGAAACCCTGTCTCAAAAAAAACCAAAAACCTGAAGAAAAAACTAAGAAAGATTCAGGCTATGTTTATCTTACCATTCATGTATTTTGTGGCAGAACACATACAAATATCAGCACCCAGAGCCAAAGGTCGCTGAAAGAAAAAAAACAGACATGTTTACTTCAAATGAGAAACCATGTGAAATGCACATCCACTTGCATCTGTTGCCTCAGATCCCAGTTGAATCCTTCTCTACCTTGCTGTGTGAGAATCCACACATTTTCAGTTTTTCTAAGATCTTGAGTTTGTCCCTACATTTTCTTCTACCAAAGAAGCATCCAAAAGAAAACAAAAACGAACAAACCAAAAATAGACTGGGCTCAGACTCTGAAGGTGCAAGTTGCATCGAAACAAAAGGCAGGCCCAGGCCAGACCTCCCTATGCCTTTCTTTACAGTAGTTATGGCTCTGAGTTTACTGTCTGCAGTAGAGATATGTCCATTTTATGAGTCGTTAAATACACGGAGAAGTTTATGATATGGAAGAATCTAGCAATTTTTGTGCCAAGTCAGCACAAAGTACTTTGCTCAGATTTTTAGTCATTAAAACCTTATGAGGTACAAGGTGATTGTTAACACTTGATTTGCTGAGTTCATGACTCCTAATCACTCTTTTATTATACTAGTTTTGACAGGTATAAAATCACAAAGAAATCTGCTGAGGCAGGAGACAAGGCTCAGCATGACCTGAGTCCAATCCCTGGAACCTAAAGATTGAAGGAGAGAACCAAATCTGCAAAGTTGTCCTTTGACCTCCACCTCCACTCTACAGCACAGACACAGGTACGAATAAAAACAGTTTTCAAAAGGAAATTTGTTGAGATTATCCTCCTGCTCTAATATTGCTGCCAATTAATCAACCTTACATCTTTAAGGTTTTGTTTTAAGGTTTTCATAGGTTTTGTTTTCTTCACATAAAGTCCCTCTAGGTAGCTCAAACTGACTTAAAACACCCATGGCTGTGGGTGGAATGTCTGTGTCCCCCATTTCACATGCTGAAGCTTAATGACCAGGCCACGGCATTAAGAGTCAGGACTCTGGGAGGTGATGAGCTCCTGATGACAGACCCGTTGTGATAGGATCAGAGCGGCATTAGAGTTCCAGAGAGCTGCCTGGATTCTTCTCCCATGAGAACATAGACTTGGCCCTCCAAGATACCTCAATGTTGGACTTGTGGGCCTTAGATCTATAAGAAGCAAAGTCCTGTTCTGAATTCACCCAGGTTACAGTACCATGCTACAGCAGCCAAACATGCTAAGAATTCTAAGTCATAACATAAAACAGATGAAGTAGAAATTCCTTATTTAACATGGACTGATAACCAACACTCAGTCAAAATATGGAACACATCAGAGATACAACCACCTAATAAGCTATGTCTTCACATGCTCTACATAACCTAAGAGATCAGGAAGTGCTGCCTGGGTGGTAGTCTAAAATCACAGGCCTATGTGGAGACCAGAAGGGCTAAAATAAAAAGCAAAAGCCCGGTCTCTAACCACCAGCTTTAAGCCCTCAGGACCCAAATGTGTAAAAAGAAACCTCTAGATCTGAACTCCTAAAGGCTCCTGGTGCCTCACCTGACATGGCCAAGGAAGGGTCATTGTTACAAATTTACTACCTAACATTCTCTTATCTATTCAGATAGGACTTCCCCCAAATGATCAAAGAGGCAAGGAAGGTTATTGAGAGCTGCTGGTAGTGAAAGTCCATGAGAGTATACAGCAGTGTTCAGAAGGTCAACCTATCAGAACTAAGGGTTCTGTTAGAGGAAACCATCACAAAAGGCGTTATGGAATTACTGCCTTTTGAATGAACTGGCTGGTTCTTGTTGTAAACTTCTTGTGCCATAACAGATATGATTCTCCCCATTTACCGTGCATCTCCATGTTATGAGAACATGTAATCTCACGATTGCATCTCAATCTTGGGCACAACTTTCCCAATACATTTAGGTAATTGGACAACTGTCCACAGCTGCATTTATTTTTCATTAATATATGTCTGGCTAGGGGCATTCTCCGGACAAAGGTATTTCAGCAAAGATACTTTTTTCCAAAGATAAATGCAGAGAAATAAACATTAGCTTATCTCACCCACAGATAGAAAAAAGAACCACGAACAATTAAATCCTCAACCCCTTACCTTCACCCCAGGTTATTTACACAAGACCCTAATTTAAGAGATTTACTGCTCCCATTCCTGGGATGATGTTTTAGCCATTTGCTAGATACTGAGTTAAGGCAGTTACTTCCCACTGACCCAAGGAGATTGCCTCCAGGCCAGGCAGGCAATAGGTGCCAAGCTTCTTTCTTGTGCAAATTAAGTTTTTATTCCTCCTCAGCCAGGTGCTATTCCTAGATTTTCTCCTCAGCAATTACTCTGAGTGAAAGTGCTTTTACTAACCAAATACTACATGCTCTGACATGGGTTGCTTAGCTACCTAGCATATATCCCCCTCCCTATCAAAAAGCAGTTGCAGCCGGGATGAGCAGGAAAAGTGGCGCCGCCAAAGACAGTTTACTTTCTTGTGACCTATTGACCCCTAACATTCTATCTAGCCATTTCTTTCTTTTTTTTTTTTTTTAAAGATTTATTTATCTATTATATATACAGCATGTTTGCCTGCAGGCCAGAAGAGGATGCCAGATCTCATTACAGAAGGTTGTGAGCCACCATGTGGTTGCTGGGAATTGAACTCAAGACCTCTAGAAGAGCAGTCAGAGCTCTTAACCGCTGAGCCATCTCTCCAGCCCCCTATCTAGCCATTTCTAGATTATAGTTTGAGCACATAAATTCCCTAATGATTGTAGCCTTTAGTTGACCCTACCAGGGTACTCCCCTTTAGTCACTCCCCTTTTGGGTTGTAATTGGAAGCTGACAATTAATTGCTTTATGTGTAGGTCCTTATCGCCTCTCTCTGAGACCATGAAAACTTCAAGCCTCACATGGCTTTACCAAAGAATTACTGTCTGGGTATATATACTGGTTCTCTGAGAGCACTGGGAGAATTGATGGAAAAGAACAAAGATGAGGATGGAGATGGAAAGAACTAGGTAGAATGATGAGAAAACAGCAGAAGGGACTGAGAGCAGAAGGGACTGAGAGCAGGAGGGACTGAGAGGAGCTAAGTAAGAGAGCAGAAAAGAAACTGTGTAGATAAGAATCGCCATAGAAGAATAAAGTGAATGGACTAAAGAACTCAGTGTGCTTAAATTCATTGAATATTCCTCAGATTAGAATCCTCAGCTGGCTGGGAGACTCTTCTGCGGACCCTGGGAGCAAACAATACGGGCTGGACCTAATATTGTTTGCGTTTGAAGGCCAAGTAACTTCTCTTAACTGCTATAAAGGACCCTCAGAGGCATAGACTCTCTGAGATTTCCCATAGTGTCTATTCTCATCAATTATGGCCTGGCAAAGTGTTTACTCCTATCTTGTGGCCCACTGTTCCCAACAAAACCTCCAATGAGATAGTAACACAGTCTTGAGATATTAACTAATGCAAAAAAAAGGTCCAAATCTGATTCTTTTTCTAATCAATAATAGTTATATTTTGATATTCAGCTATTTTGAGTTTGATAATGATTTTTTTATAAAGTAGTTCTTCCTTTCCTAATTATAGATAACTGTGTGGTTTGTTAATCACAACAAAACCCCTTCCCTTCATTTACCTGGAAATATGGAGACATGAAAGTGTTATCTACAACCAAAATGATGTCTCCATGCTTATGGACGATTTGTGCACAGGCTTCGATGTCAGTCAACTTCAAGGATGGGTTTGTGGGTGTTTCAATCCAAACAAGCTACAGTAATTCAGCAAACAACAGTAAGTAAAAACATATCACACATACACAAATATCTCACATACCACAACATAGAAGGCTTCTACTTCCCATGCTGGAAAGGCTTAGACAATGAAGGTGCAATGGTCAAGTTTGAATCTGAACTTTCCCTATAAGATTGGCCATTGCTCTGTAAATTCCCTTCTATCTTCCTCAAGTTCCTCATCTGCACAAAATGGTTGGTAATATTTATCTTCCAGAACAAAGCCATGGTGTCTGGAGCTTCTGTTCTCGGAGACAAATAATACAGATTGTATAAAAATATATCCTCACTCTGGGGAAGTAACTCAGTAAAGATCTTGCCTAGTGTGCATGAAGCCTGAGATCAATCCCTAGCACTTCATAAACCAGCACTTTGGGGGCTTAGGGGTGATGCCTATACTCCCAGCATTCAAGTAACAGAGGCAGACAGATCACAAGTCCAAGGTCACAGTCAGCTACACAGAGAGTCTGGAATACAAGCAACTCTACTCTACACATCCTAGAATTTTCATTAATGAGAATTATGCCCAGGATGCCAAGGACATCCTCAGAGTTAGATAACAACAAACGCACTAGAAACTCTAAACTTGGGAAAGTGCATTAGGCTGAGGAAAAGAAGTGGCAGCCATGTAGAAAGCTAGGTTCCCTGGCAGAACTCTGATTTACTGCAACCCTGTCAAGATGTGCACCCTCAACAGTTACTGAAAAGACCAAGTCAGAACTCGGTTAAATAAGGTACATCTGCTTTGAACTGTATTACTTACAGGTTTCTCTTATAAAAACTAATGACTTTTCATTATCTATATAGACAGACAAGATGTCTAGTTAAATACATTCCCTGTCTGGAAGTTCACTACTAAAAACTACTTTGAAAATCTTAATTTACTTAAAGAGCTATAAAAATGACTCCTGGGCCGGGTGGTGGTGGCGCACGCCTTTAATCCCAGCACTCGGGAGGCAGAGGCAGGCGGATCTCTGTGAGTTCGAGGCCAGCCTGGGCTACCAAGTGAGTTCCAGGAAAGGCGCAAAGCTACACAGAGAAACCCTGTCTCGAAAAACCAAAAAAAAAAAAAAAAAAAAAAAAAAAAAAAAAAAAAAAATGACTCCTGGATAAGAATAATAAATTCTCATCAAGATAATTTAAAAATGAAAACAAGTAACTAAATACAAAATAGGTTTTATATGGACTTTAAAAACTGACTACCAGAGCTGGAGAGAAGACTCAGTAATTAAGAGCATTTGTTCATGAGAAGACCAGTATTTGAATCCCAGCACCCACATGGTGGCTCCCAACCTTCTGTAATTCCAGTTCTAAGGGAGCCAATGCCCTCCACAGGTAGTAAACATACACACGGTGCACATTTGTGCATGAAAACAAAACATTCATACACACTCAAACACTCATCATATATATCTTCAAAAGCAGAGCCTGTATTTCAGGGGAAAATATATTAATTCAAGTGAATTAAAAGGCCAGCAAATAAAATCGTATGGACAAAATTTATCATACTCATGATCTGATTTCTTCCCTTGGGAAGTCTCAGATCAGCTATTTAAATAAATTCTTTTTCCTCAAGCAATATAAAAATGCAACTTCCTTGAAAACAAACCTTACTGAGTAAAAGCTGCTCTAGTGCTAATCTAGAAAGTCTCCTTTGTGTGAAGGACCTCTATCTTTTAGCATTCACTGCCACATGAGCTTGAATCTAGGCTCCTTTGTGTGAAGGATTTCTATCTTTTAGCATTCACTGCCATATGAGCTTGGGTACAAGTTTAACGCTTTAATCCTTAACAGAGTTAGAAAGGTTCACTCATAAAAGACACTGGCCTTTCACTCCTGCAGAATTTAAATGAGGTCCCCAAATACCACATCTGCTATTCAGGCACAAATACCTTCCACAGCACACAAGCTTCCCAGGGCTGAGATCAAAGTCCCTGGGCTGAGGGGGTCTATGATCTTTGAACGATGTTATGCTTTGATAGCTTGGTATGTCTGAGAACTATGCACTCTTGAATTTAAATTTTTTACAAAAAAAAAAATTGGGTGGAGCCGAGAGATTAAACCCACACTAGCTTCTAATATAATGCACACACACAAAAAATTAAACTTATTCTTAGAACACTGACCTGCCCCTAAAGGACAGGGGTCACTTTTAAAAGGCCATGCCTCCCTACTACTCTCTCTGGGACAGAATTAAGAAGCAGGTTGTGCTATGGCTAACAGTGGTTCCTAATTTATGGGACTTGATTCATTCATGTTCTTTGTCGTGTATACAACATTGAACTAAAATCATATGATATGAAACTTCCTAAAAAACCCACCAAACTTATAAAAGTCTGGTATTTCCTTTGTTCTTGGGATTGCTGTGGGGATTTACTTCAAAGAGGCTCCCTTGGCTTCCCCTACCATCCCTCTCACGGCAGTCATCTATCACTGTGTGTCTTTCTCTGCCTCTCCCCTTCTCATTCTCATGTGAACATGTGTAGGTCTATACATGAAAATTCAGGTGCCTATGGAGGACAGAGGCATCAAATCCCTTGGAGCTGAAGTTACAGGCAGTTATGGGCCACCCAATGTAGATGCTGGGAACCAAATTCAGGTACCCTGGCAAGAGCAGCACATACTCTTAACCACTGAAACATTTTTCCAGCCCAGCCCGCCTCCAAATTTTAAAGGGAAGTCTTTCCTTCCTTTCAAGGCCCTGTTATGTGGTTTTTAATATATTGTGGCATTTTTTTGTCTAATACTCTTTTCTTCCCACCTACCTCAAGGCCCAATTGAAATTCCACTTCAGAATTTGCATGTGCACTCCAGATAATTATGTTTTCAAGCCATGGAGACTCTAGCCTATATCAATCTCAGTATTTCCAACAGCTTCAATAAAATGTTATTTGGATTTATATTACATCCTCTAGTAAGCAGAAAGGATGTAAGTAAAACATCATGGGGAAAACAGAATCAAAAGCCAGCTGGTTACCTTGGTTCGTGGTGTAATTGCTGCCTCTAGCAATTTGTTATTGGAACACTCCACAAAAGAAACCTTCAGTCCAAATTCAGATGCCACTCTCCTGAAGTACCTGTTGGTGCCTGAGGCAGAAGACAGTCAAATAATATGCAGAGAATACAATGTGAGGTAATGTCTGCTCTTTGCAGACCTCCCCAATCCCAAATGAGAACTCTCAAAAAAAAAAAAAAAAATTCAGCTGAAAGCAAGTTCAGTGTAGCTAAGTAGCATGGCTATCTGACATGCCACAGAGCCAATTAAAATTGATACACACAAGTGGCAAGAAGCAGAACCATTTCTCAAACTCGCCTTTCTCTACTCCTCTAACATGGAGCAGCTTCCTGACACAGTGTCTTCTGCTGGGGATGTCTTTCTGTGTGCTGCGAATGTGTTGTTCTGATTGATTGATAAATAAAATGCTGACTGGCCAGTAGTCAGGCAGGAAGCAGTGTAGGCGGGATAAGCAGAGAGGAGAATTCGGGGAAGTGGAAGGCTGAATCAGGAGATGCTGCCAGCCACTGCCACCATGAGAAGTAAGATGTGAAGAACCAGTAAGCCACAAGCCACGTGGCAACTTATAGATTAATAGAAATGGGTTAATTTAAGATATAAGAACTAGATAGCAAGAAGCCTGCCATAGCCATACAGTTTTTAAGTAATATAAGTCTCTGTGTGTTTACTTGGGTCTGAGCAGCTGTGGGCCCAAGCAGGACTGGAGAAAACTCCAGTTACAAATGGCACCCAACAACTTGAGTTTCCACCTAAAACCTGAGAAAGAAGATTCTAAAACGGAGCTAAAAACAGCTTCCTAGTTGTCTCTCTCAAGTTAACAGCAGCCTGCAGGCTTGAGCTACTCTATAGCAGGTTTGTGGCATGCAGGCTTGACCTACAACATGGTGGGAATGAGGCCTCTGCAAGCTGCACATTACACTGCATGGTGGATTTAGCCTTTGCTAGTACAAAGGAAAAAAAAAAGTTTCTGGGCTACATGCTGCTTGGATAGAACCATAGACCCACTGCTTCTGAGAGTTGATGGTACACATGGCTCCCAGACCCAGAGCTGGCAGTAAATGTACCACCACCATGTTGGGAAGCTGAGTTGGGTGGAGCCAGTAGGCAAGGCTTCTGCTTCAGTACTAGCTGCTGCAGTTTAAAGCAATAGGTTCACAATAAGACAGATTCAGATGGAATAATTTACAATGTGTGTAAAAATGTACGTAGGCTTGGAAGAGAGAAAAAAGTAATACATGCAGTTATATAAAGAATTAGATAGTTTTAAAAAATAAAGTGTTGGGGGCTGGAGAGATGGCTCAGAGGTTAAGAGCACTGCCTGCTCTTCCAGAGGTCCTGAGTTCAATTCCCAGCAACCACATGGTGGCTCACAACCATCTATAATGAGATCTGGCGCCCTCTTCTGGCATGCAGTCATACATGCTGAATACATAATAAATAAATAAATAAATAAATAAATAAATGTTTAAAAAAATTAAAGTCTTTAAAGACAAAGTAAAAGTAATATAAAAAATAAGCCAAGTAGAGATGGATATCACACAGAGAATCTGGACTGTGTTGTTTTTGGGATTTTTCACTCCAGAGAGATATTTGATTGTAAAGGCTGTTGAGTTAAACCAATATGTATATTTTAAAGGTTTCTTGACTTCAAAATTTGGATCTAAGGATATGTTACTTTGGAAAGGATGTTCTGCTTTTGTTTCCACAGAAAGCAAGAGGCTATGGATTTGTTCCAGATTAAGATACATCAGGTTTGACCAGCCAAGACCCCCTGAAAGGTCTCCGATGACACCATGGCCCAGATGATCCAACATCCAGAACGGTTTCAAGTCAACTGGCTCAGACAATACAGCATCATGGACTACTCCATAATCCTAAAATTTTCTTTGTGTCCCCAAAAGAATACAGTGCCCTCATCCAGCAGGAAGTAGTATGAGAAGCTATGCCCAAATTCCCAAATATACCAAGCTGGCTTTGGAGATGGAATTGGCTCATTCCTTCTCTAAATCCAAGCATATTTGCTAAAAGAAAAGGTTGAGAGATTCTTCTGTTCTATATCAGAAGAGCCCTCTGGTGTGGGACAGAGAAAAACCAACATTTTTATTTAAAGCAGGTTGATTATAAATGCAATCTCTTTCTAAAGAAGAAAACGGGATAGTATAGATATATAGGATAAAAGGGTAGATTAATAAACCTACTTTTAAAGAACAAAAACTTGTTTATAAATGTTTTACATTGCTATGGATTTTAGTTTATTGATACAAGTTTAAACTTAATTTTGTTATACTGTATATATATTTCTATTATTGTTTGAGGTATTATGTTTATATAACTCATTTAGATTATAATGGATAATTTAAAAATACAGATTAATAAGTAGTCTTCTATGATAGTCAAACTTATAGTCGTGTTAAGTTTTCTAGGTATACATAGATATAATTCAATTAGGCAGGTAATCTTCAAACACTTCAAAGACCTACAGAATACAGCATTTAAAATGTTGTAAAAATTTAGACTTTCTGGACAGTGAGACACGTCTGCTCCTGGCAGCACTGATTTACTTCAAAGAGGAGGATGGGCATTGAAGATACTCTATATGGAGTTTATCTTCTTCTTGGCAAAAATAACCATTTGGGCAAGAAACTGTTCTTGCCTGAACTGCTTGATTGACTGGACATGCAGGATCCATAGGAAGGTGACCACTGAACTTTGCTTGGCAAAATGGTCCTTCAGGTTCCTGCTTTGCAGAGGGAACTGCCAGACATTCTACAGGACACAGAGAAAAGTGACTGAAAGACTCTAGGCTTGTGGGCTGAAGACAGATGCCCCAACTTTACAGAGGAACTTTGGATGACTGTCCAGGCTGCCAGCTGTCTCTGTCTACTCTCATAAGCCTACCGAAAGTTGCTTGTGTCCTTCTCCCATTTCTCAGGTAATATTATATCCTTCTGAGGTCTTTGATGTAGTTGAAGACTAGATAGTTATAATTTCCTTAGTTATGATAAAAGATAAGTTAGATATAAAACCTTAGACTCACAAATATAGGATAGATAGGATATCATCTTTGATTTTGCCAGATGCAAATAGACTAGATATTATAAATATAATTCTTGCTTGATAACTGTTTTGTTATATATAATTTTACTATGTTAAAGGTAAAACATTCCTTTTTGAAAAAAAAAAGAAAAGGGGAAGTACTGGGGATGTCTTTCTGTATGCGGTGAATGTATTGCTCTGACTGATTGATAAATAAAACACTGATTGGCCAGTAGCCAGGCAGGAAATATAGTATAGGCAGGATAAGCTGAGAGGAGAATTCTGGGAAGTGGAAGGTTGAGTTAGGAGATGCTGCCAGCCACAGCCACCATGAGAAGATGCAAAGTACTGGTAAGCCACAAGCCACATGGCAATTTATAGATGAATAGAAATGGGTTAATTTAAGATGTAAGAGCTAGATAGCAAGAAGCCTGCCATGGCCATACAGTTTATAAGTAATATAAGTCTCTGTGTGTTTACTTGGGTCTGAGCGGCTGTGGGCCCAAGCGGGACTGGAGAAAACTCCAGCTCAGTCTTCTGTAGAAATCTCTGCACGTACAAGCTGTATGTTTCAGATAGGGACTTGGTTCCAACAGTCCCAACTGATACATCTACAACACAATTCTTGCACTCAAGGCTCAGTAATCATTACAGAAGGGTGGGGATAGTAAGAGCCAGAGGAACAGAACGTTTATTGTGAGACTGTGCTTCCTAGAAATGTTGAGAGGCTAAACTCCTGAAATCTCATCAACATAGCTACCTAACCAAGACCTGAACAACAATGAAACCAATGGACATGTTAACATAGGAAGGGAAAACCCATGAGGCCTTAGACAAAGAACTACAGACAACTGGAAATGCTGAGAGTGGGAGAAATGGTCTTCATAAACATACAGGTAACATTATATGGACTGAGAAAGTTGTATTTATGTATTTAGGAATACATATACACATACATATATGTGTGTGTGTGTGTGTGTGTGTGTGTGTGTGTGTGTGTAACAATAATCAAAGAAAAAGAGACCATGAGAGAGTACATATGGAGGGTTGTGTGTGTGCATGGGAAAACTTGAAGGGAGGAAAAGGAAAACGATGTAATTATATTATAATTTTTAAAAAATGTATTAAAAATGACAGAGTCTCCCTGTAGCCCAGTTGACATCAAAATCAAGCTGGCCAATTCATGGCAATTCTGCTTAGCCTCCTGAGTGCTAGGATCATAGGCACAAGTGACTGTTAACAGTTTCTTCATAGTACTCAAGTCTAAAAGCATCACTAGTGAGACGCACAGGTTAAAGACTGGCCACCAAGAATGGCAACCTGAGCTTGATATCAGGACCTACATGGTGGAAGAAGAGAATTAACTCTCAGAAATCGTTCTATGGTGTTCATTGGCACAATGTGGCATCTCAGCATGCCTGGTACAATGTATGTGTGTTGTGCATTCAGAAGGCTGATCAAGTCCTATATCCTTATTCCAACTCTTAAACACAATCCTTATTAGACAATCTCCTACAGGCACTTCTGGAACACAGAGTCTGAAACCATGGAGGTGCCTACTATACCTTAGAAAGAACATACTCGCCAAAACTGGCAATGGTGCTCATGTAACTCAAGGCTCATTGCTATCTTTGTACCAGTGGCACACACTGCGGATGAGAGGGCACCTACCTCCATACACTTCATCCATGCAAATGACTTCATCTCCAGCTTTTAACAGATGGGTAATCGTAGTGGTGGCAGCTAGCCCTGAAGCAAAGGCCAAACCTACCATAAAAAGCAAATTCAAGTAAGCTTAAAAAACAAACAAAAAAGCAAACAAAAACCAAAAACCAAAACCTTAGCAAGAACCTAGCGCCATCTGCACCGTCGTTCCCCTGGCTGACTGAGTCACTGCTACTACTCCTCAGAGGTCCTCTAATTAATGTTACAATACCCCTTTATGTTTGAAAAATAAAAATTTTAGAACACTATGTATTTATACACACACAAGCATACACACACACACACACACACACACGATAGATATTGAGACTTTATTCTTTATTACTCTGCTCATATAGCATCATTTTTATTGAAAATACAAAGATGACTTCACCAGAACTCACTCCCAGGACCTTTTCTGGGGTGTAAATTCCTTCCCTCTGAGAGCATATTATCAAGGATTTTGGGTTTGGTGAATGAGCAATAGCGACAGCCTGAGATGAAGGCTGTAATAAGCTCTGCCATTCTGCTCTGTCCCTATTTATTTACTGCTAACTGGTAAGGACACACATGCATATACCAACTGAAGAACAAAGCCAAAGGATTCACTGTTTTAGGAAAACGGGAGTTTGGAATGAGAGGATCTCTATTTCTACCTTCTGTGCTTCTGTGGTCCCTAGACACCTAAAGAGAATCCACCTTTCATTGTAGATATAAGTCTCTTACTGTGTTTTGCCCCGTCCAGAGCGGCCACTGCTTTTTCCAAGCAGTTCCTTGTGGGATTTCCAGAGCGGCCATATACAAAACCCTGAAAATAAGAAGGGAAGGAGGAGGAAGAGGATTTATTCATCATCTTAAGATCTCTTGATTAGTATCAGAGCCCAATGAAGACATGGTCCCACCATAATGATTTTCTATTACCTAGCCATGGCACATTTTGATATAAGATGTAAGTGTGGCATCATCGTGGCTATGGCAGCATGGAGAGCTTAAAGGATGACCAAAAGGGGAACTGGAGAGATGGCTAAGAGGTTAAGGATGCTTACTACTCTTTCAGAGGACCTAGGTTCAATTCCAAGAACCCACATGTCAGCTCACTAGGTCTGGATCACTAGTTTCAACGGATATGATGCCTTCTTCTGGCCTCCACAGGCACTGCATGCATGTGGTATACAGACAGAAACACATGCAGACAAAACACCTATACACATAAAATAAAAATGAGTAAGAATGATGTACTTACCATGGGTTGGAATGATGTTCCTGCCATTTACTAGCTTGGTACTACTAGGTAAAGGACTCAACATTCTAACAGTCAATTTGGAGATGGGAAAAAATACAGGTCTAATTGCAAAATTGTGAGGATGAAATAGAGTAAGGCATACATTCCCTGTATATTCCTCAACATGTTCTAACCACTATATAGGTGGCAGTTCTTTTTTTTTTTCTTTATTAAGAAATTTTCTACTCATTCCACATACTATCCACAGATCCCCTTTTCTCCCTCCTCCCACCCCCCAGCCCTCTTTCCCAAGCCACATCCCCCAAATCGAGGTCTCCCATGGGGAGTCAGCAGAGCCCAGCACACTGAGCCTAGGCAGGTCCAAGCCCCTTCCCACTGCACCAAGGCTGTGCAAGGTGTCACACCACAGGCACCGGATTCCAGAAGCCTGCCCATAGACCAGGGACAGATCCCGATCCCCCTGCCTGGGTGCCCCCAAACAGTTCTAGCCAAACAACCATCTTCCATATCCAGAGGGCCTAGTCCAGTCCCATGGGGGCTCCACAGCCACCAGTCCACAGTTCATGGGTGCTGTGGATGATTGATTGATAAATAAAACACTGATTGGCCAGCAGCCAGGCAGGAAGTATAGGTGGGACTAGCAGAGAGGAGAATTGTAGGAAGTAGAAGGCTGAGGCAGAGAGACGCTGCCAGACGCTGCCATGAGAAGACGTTAAGATACCGGTAAGCCACGAGCCACGTGGCAACTAATAGATTAATAGAAATGGGTTAATTTAAGATATAAGAACTAGATAACAAGAAGCCTGCTGTGGCCATATAGTTTGTAAGCAATATAAGTCTCTCTGTGTTTACTTGGTTGGGTCTGAGCAGCTGTGGGACTGGTGGGTGAGAGAGATTTGTCCTGACTGTGGGCCAGGCAGGACCAGGAAAACTCTAGCTACACATGGGCTTCCACTAGTGTGGCTGGTCATCTCTGCACGTCCTCCCATCATGATCTCGACGTCCCTCACCTGCAGTATCTCTCCTCTTTCTCATCAATTGGATTCCCAGAGCTCAGCCTGATGTCTGGCCATGGATCTCTGTATCTGCCTCCATCAGTCTAGGTGGCGGTTCTTAACATTGGCATGGTGTTGCAATTACATTAGCCTCACCCTTTCCTTATAAGATGGGCGTATTAGGAAAAGGGAATGGCACGAATCTAACCTGTGCTTCTCTTCCCAAGATAGAAGTGATGCAGGTTCATTTAGCACACAAGAGGGCTGACTGAGTCATTCAAGTTCTCAGGGTTCAGATCTTAACCCTATAAAAATGACTCAACACAAAAGGAGGAAGCAATTTTCAGTGAACATCCTCCATAAGTTGCTTCATAAAATCTTGTGTCAGGCTCCCTTTATACTTAAGTTTATCCCTTTATATTTAATTTTTACCTAATCATTTTATTTAGCCTTGTGACCTACTTGAAGAAAAGTGAAGCCAAATGTTGTAAGACCTGGGGAATGTGAGGGTTAGAATCAATCCTAGGCTCTGAGCTGGTGTGATCGCACACATCTGCAATCCCAGTAAAGGCAAAGTCTGATCCGTGAGTTGAAGGCCAGCCTGGGCTCCTTAAAGACAGACTGTCTCAAACAATTTAAAACATCCTACACATTTCTCTCCTTGGTTTATACAGCACATCACTACTTACAACCTTGTTTCAGACTCGGAAGCTTCTAGTATTAGTAATAATAATTTTAAAAGTTTTACCCTGATTAGATAAACTGGGCACACAGAGTTCACAGGGCTCCAGCTGTCTTCAACACCCACCACTGTCCCTGGCTGCTAAACTCATCAAACCTCCTCCAAAACACTTGGTTCCTAGAACAGCCCCATGCTGCCATAAATATTCATAAGCATGCAGATGTCTAACATCCAGGGTAGGAGAACTTATTTCGTTGGCAAATTACCTTGTGCATTCCATGGCTTTTCAAATGGAACTAAAGATTTCTGATACTTCTTATTGCTACAGTGTCATTTATCTTTTGGAGATTCTGAGCACATACTGGATTTAACTGCCCCTGCTTGCTCTCTGAACCATTTAAACATTAATACCATACCCAAACACTCAATTTCTACACACTGTTCCATACAGGCAGCAGGCCTACATAGGAGGGCCCCACCACTTGCTTGGAGGAGGTAGTGTTTGAGTTTTGAATGCAAGTCACCAGTTAGGAGTATCCTAACCTGCTATAGTGATGCCTTTGGAACTTTGCCTCACAGAACAAGGGCTGTTTATAAGAATTTTACCTGACTTACAACATACAAAGGTAGTTTCCAGAACAGTCAAGACCTGGGAACATGCTGCAATTGCTTTACTGTTGTCCTCTGAACCTCAGGAGACTTTTAAAATATCTAGTAAGCCATCAAAAAGGAAGATGCCATGAGATTCACAAGACTGCATATTTCAGGCGTTACTGGTCACTTGTGTTTGAGTCTGGGTCAGTTTCCTTTTCTATAAAAATGATTTAATACCTACCCCCTGACCTGGCTGTTGTAGTCAAATTGGAAATAGCAAGACATGAAGACTGCAAATACCAAAGTACTTCTGAGTAATGAGTGTGTACCACAGAGTTTTTAACAGCAGTAGCTCATGTGGTGTGTTCTATAATTCTATAATTATCCCAGTTTACACAGGGTCAACTCAAGGCTAGGATGGGTTAAATAGCGTCTTCCAGGTTACCCAGACAGAAGAGCTGATGTAAGAATTAAAACCCCTGTACTCTTAATCACAAAGCCACACTGCATAGATCAGTGGTTCTCAACTTGTTGTGGTGACCCCCAACCACTAAATTATTTTTGCTGCTATTTCATAGCTGCAATTTTGCTACTGTTAATGAACTGCAATGTAAATACCAGATGAGACCCTTGGGAAAGGATCATCATGACCCATGGGTTGAGAACCACTGTCTTAGATGATGAAATGGCTTAAACTATTACTTATCACAGCTATAATGTAGCACCATGCAGTCAGGTGCAGAAGAGAGGGTTCAAGATAAATTAAAGGTAGCTTCATTGCTCATGAGCCTTGGCGACCCTAGGTTACTTTAGTGCTGGTAATCCTCTATCTCCTCTATCTCAATCTGAATACTAAGACCTTAGTTTGGGCTTGGTTCCTTCTTGTTAACATTGGATGAGACTACATGTAACACATAGACTCTAACTATGCACACACAGGAACTGATCTTAAATCTCTAAGACTTTCATTATTTAGTGTGTGTGTTTGAGTGTGAATGTATGTGTGTGTGTGTGTGTGTGTGTGTGTGTGTGTGTGTGTGTGTGTGTGTGTGTGTGTGTAGGTCAGAGGACACTGCAGGAGCTGGTTCTCTCCTTCCACCATATAGATTATAGAATTGAACTAAGGTGGTCAGGTTTGGTGACAAGCACCTTTACCTGCTGTGATAAAACACCACAAACAAAAGCAATTTCACTTCCATGTAACTGGTTTATCATGAAAAGCAGATAGGGCAGGAGCCTGGAGGTGAGAGCTGATGCAAATGCTATGGAGAAGTGCTCCTTACTGGCTTGCTCACCCCACTTTCTTATAGAACTCAGAATCACCAGCATGGGGGTAGGGAGGGCCCCCCACTCACAGTGGACTGGGCCCTCCCCCATCAGTCACTAATTAGGAGAATGCCCTACGGGTCTGCCTGCTTACAGCCTAATCATCACAGCCTAATCTTCTAGAGGCACTTTCTCAATTGAGGTCCCCTCCTCTCAGACTATAGCTTGTGTCAAGTTGATATAAAACTAGTCAGCACACCTGCTGAGCCATCTCACCAGTCCAAGGCCCTTCATTTTTCCAAGGGGGACTGGCTTCGTTGCTACAGAAGTCACCAAATTACAACTCTGATTTTTAACTGAAAATCGCAGAGACCACCCACGTGTCCCGAGCGCTCGGGCAGTCCGCCGGGGCTCCCTGCTCGCCCTGCCCACCCTGCTCGCCCTGCCCGCCCTGCCGCTCACCGAGGACTGGCCTGGCGAGTCCTGCTTGAAAGTGGTGGCCAGCGAGATGGGTATCACCAGGGCGCGTGAATTCCACTGCTCGGGCTCCTGTCCCACGTGAATGGCCTGAGTGGCAAAGTGCTGGAAGTTGGGCAGGTAGCCGCTAGGGGAGGCGTTCTTTTGCATGTTGGCGCCGGGAAGATCAGGACTTTGCCAAATATGAGACCAACTGGAGTCTTTCCGAGCTTCGCGCTTATATCCAGGGAGGGGCGGGTCCGACGCGGCCAATCAGCGCGGGTCCCGAAGCAAAGCCATTGTCCATTGGGCGGCAGGGGAGGAGTTGCCCGGAGTGCCCCTGCCCCGCCTCCAGGTGGCGCCCACGTGGTGAGCAATCGGGCTGGGACAAACCTCAACAGCAGAGGCTGCAGCACAGAGCCCAGATGCACCCTTTGTCCTCAGGGTAGAGACCCCAGTGCGGGCCTCCTCCCGCCGCCTTGCGGGACCCCAAGTGCTGGTGTCAAGCAGAGGTGATCCGGGGACCTCTGGAGCTGCTTCCCCAGCGCCTGTGGGCCTACCCTCGCCAAGATCAGGCTTTCAGGAGGAAGCTTTGCTTCCAAAAGACACCAGCCTTGACCTAATTTTACACCATGTCAGGGAACTAGGGAGTTTAAGGCGTTTCCATTTCTCGGAAACCTAACCTAAAACTCTGAAACACTGTAGAACAAATTTAGACGGCATTAAGGAACAACTTTTAAAAAACGTTTTTAAACAACTTTTTAAAAAGCAAGGGTTTGGAAAAGGCAAACACAGTCCATTTGCTTTTCAAATTAGCTTCAGAGACAGTCACCCTCCAGCACCAAGTGTGAGAGGCTGGAGGCCAAGGGAAACCATGCCCACAGGGAAGCAGACTGTTTCTGAAACCAATGGGTTGCGATGCCTATTTGATTACTATTTCTCCTTTTAAAATATGTTCTCAACCTGAACACTGAACACATTTCAAAGATTATGCATATATGTGGGTATCTTTTAAATTTTTTTGAAGTTATGTGTATGTCTGTGCACCACATGCATTCTACAGAAGTCAGGAAGGACGTTAGGTCCCCTGGACCTGCAAGCTATAAACAGATGGGCTCGACATGTGAGTGCTGGGGAACAAACCCGAGTCCTCTTGAAGAGCAACCAGTGCTCTTAACAGCTGAGCCATCTCTACAGCCTTGTGGTACATTTTGGTGTGACCACACAGAACAGGTGGGGGCAGAATAGCCTGAAACAGTTCAGATTCCAGTTCTAAGTAGACTTGATAAACCCTGGGTTACACAAATGTGTGTGGTGCATGCGTGGAGGTCAGTCTCCAACCAACCTGCCGAGGCAGAGTCTCTCTGCACTGCTCGCTCCAGGCTTGCCCACCAGGAGCTTCAGCTGATTCTATCTCCGCCTCCTACAGTAGGAGTGCTGGTACAGGTGCACAGTACCGCTAAGGTGGGTGGGATCGAACACAGAGCGTCAGGCTGTGTGGCAAGCGTTTTTACCCACTGAGCCATCTTTCCACCTGACATTTTCTTTAGCTTCTCTCTGTCATAGAGAGTTCTTTGAAAAGTGGCCCCTTGCTGGGTGGTGGTGCACGCTTTACTCCTAGCACTTGGGAGGCAAAGGCAGGCTGATGTCAGTGAGTTCGTTTGTGGCCAGCCTGGTCTACAGAGTGAGTTCCAGAACAGCCAGCGCTACACAGAGAAACCCTGCCTTGAAAAACCAGTCCAAAAAAAAAAAAAAAAAAAAAAGAAAAAGAAAGAAAAATATGGCCCCTATACAGAGCCTCTAAATGAGGCCTCTGATAAAAATGAGAGGAGGCTGCAGGATGGCAGCCCCAGATTTAACTTCTCTATTCAGCAGTGTCTCTCTCAGACGTCATCATATATGTGTGCAAAGGTGACTACAAAACTCTCAGCTATAATGAAAAGCAGATTAACTACCCATCCTTCAGAGCCCAATAGCTAGTTCTGTGATAGACTCATGAAGTGGCCAATGAGCAGAAGAGTTGAAGAGAACTGGCATGACCATTTCCAAGACAGCAAAGGAAACTGCAAAACAGTGTGTGAATTCAGGAGCACATACTATGCTACACGATCTTTAAATACATGTGTTGTTTGACATCTGAAACAACCGTGGTAGCAGAAATCATAGATCTACAGGGGAAAATGAATTCCTTTACACTTCATATACATAAAGTAAAATAAATCTTTTTATTTTCTTTTTCTTCTTTGGCTTTTTGAGACAGGGTCTTGCACTACCCCTTGCAAACCTCAAACTCATGGTAATCCTTACTGCATCCAACCAGAAAAACCTTTTTAAGTGAATGAGTGATGGCCACTTTAAATACAGTAAATGTCCTCTGAATGCTTATTTTTCACTTAGAGCAGGTTGCAAACAACATCATGAAATTATCACTACACTTCTAAGCCATGGATTCTTCTTGGGAATGAGATTCGGGAAGCACACATGTTCTTTCCTTCTTTTTACTTTATTTTTGTGGTTGTTGTATGTTTGGAGACAAGGTCTCAGGTTTCTCAAAGCTGGCCTCAAACTGGCCTTGTAGCAGAGGATGATGTGGAATTTGCTCCTCCTACCTCCAGTGTGCACCATCATGCTTAGTCCATGTGCTGCTGGAGACTGAGCCCAAGGCTTCCTGCCTGCTGGGCAAGTATTCTTTCTTCTGAGAATCATCCCCAGCACCACCTATAATATTTTTTTAAACCAGTAGGAAAAGAAACATTGTATTTTTAATAGGAAATAATTAAAAATAGCATCTTTTGAGACTAAGAAAGTTTAAAAACTTAGTCAATGGCTGTCAGGCTTTGTTTCAAGGCTGACTACAGAGAAGCTAAGTGATTCACTCATAGTTGTGGAAAGGAATTGGAGTTCAAGTTCATCTCAACTAGCTACATGGTAAGTTCCAGGCCAACCTGGGCTGCATGAGACCCTGTCTCAAAAAAGAAAAGAGAAGCCAGGGTGGCACACACCTTTAATCCCAGCAGTCTCTGTGAGTTTGAGACCAGTCTGATCTACAGAGTGAGTTCCAGGACAGCAAAGCCAGGGCTGCAAAGAGAGAGCTATTAAAAAAAAAAAAAAAAGACAGCAAAAGTGAATAGATAGAAAATGGCCAAGATGAACTTCTAATTGTCTCATTTGTGGGGGGAGGGGCTGTTCCATTGGTAGAGCATGCTGGCCTTGAGTCCAGTATGCCTGCTTGGCTTTCCAAGTGCTGGGGTGACAGACCTGAACAGGGTACACTGCCAGCCATTTCCTCTCTGAATGGCAATGTCACCATCCTGTGTTTGTGTCATTCTCTCTTAAATCCCCACTCTGGAATTCCCTTCCTCACTCTCTTCTTGCCATCTTTACAGAAAAGGTGATGTGAACTGACTCAGTTTCCCCATTGCATCCCAGTTTCCGCAACACCCTTGGTGCTTTTCTTCTATGAACAGATAGGTATATGTCCACAGTAGTAATTACACCATGGAAGCCATTGCTAGGGCTCTAGAATTAGTGTGGCCTCCAAAGACGCCTGTGGTGGAAGCTTGGTTCCTTGTATGAGGCAGGAGGTGCTGCCCAGAAAGGAAGCAAAGAGACTTCCTTCTTTGCACCCCAGCCTAGGTCTTGCCCTCTGCCTTGAAGTGTGATGTTTTTCTCACATGTATGCTGCCCACCTATGCAATGCTGTCTGCTTTCAGCAGACTGGTCAAGGCCCTGCTGTGCCCATGAGTCAATAAGTACTCAAGTATTCCATTACAGCATTAAAAAACAGACTATCCTAGATGTCTTATATTGAGCTTAGTCTAAGAATTCTGCCAATACCTTCAGAGAATACCAGAGAGTAGACATTGTGTCGGCTCTACAAGTGAGTACAGGAAAGGGTAAAGAGGGGCTACATTTTCCCAGGAGCACAGCATGAATGGAGTGTCTGACCTTCACACCCTGCCCTCCCTAGAGCCTTCCCCAAGCTTCTGATATGTCCTCCTTTGCCAGCAGTTAATGTGTGCTCAGGACTGATCCCTTTTTGGCTCATCTTGCATGTAGGGGGCCAGAATAATTTCTCAATTTTTTTTTTGTTTTGTGTGGTTTTTGTTGTTGTAGTTGTTTCTACCATAAAAACTCTCAAGTCCTCCGAACCAACAAAGAAATTCTGTGATTTCTCTGTCCCCAGAACTTTATATATATTTGTGGTGTGCCAAAAATGACAATGGTGAACTGTCTTCACCTACATTTACTCATTCATTCGTTCATCAACAAACAATATTCAGTCCCAATTATGGGCAAGCATGATGGCATGTCCTGACTCGGGTCCATTACCATGTCTTGGTTCTTTACTGCCTCCATTCTCCTAGCAGAGAAAACTTTGAAAATTAACCCACAGAACCACAGTAGAATGCTTTGCCATGAATATTAGGATCCACCCAAGGTGAAGTTCATATTCCTTCAACTCTAATCCCAAATTCTTGCTGGTCATGCAGTTTCATTTCCTCCCTACTCTCCACACTGTGCTACATTCCTTTCCTCACAGATGCCCACATCTGTTCACAACTCTACACATATTATTATTCTCAAATTTCTTTCCAAATTTCTCCCCAGATGTCCTCTGGCTCTCCATATCTTAGCTCAAACTTCTCTTCTGGTAAGATTTGTCCCACTTCTGTGCCCCGACTTATATGGCCATCATAATGCTTATTGTGCTTGCTTGTTTGGATGTGCCTTGCTTGGTTACATGCTCTGGAAAAAGAAGAAAAGATATAAAGTTTATCTTCATGTCACTAACACGTAGTTCTGACTCTGGCATAAGCACACTGATCAACAGCATTTTCTAACTGCCAGGATAAACTTGACGAAAGAGGAGATACTATGACTTAGTCTCTGTCCTTTCAAGGCTGGAAAATAAACAGCAGAAGGGCACTGTGTTGCCCCATTGTTGACTTTTCTGCTTGTTTTAAGTGGCCCTGACCTTTTTCAGTAAGTAAATGTGTTCACCAACTGAACAATGTATGAGAATATTAGAGACTGCAGATACATCAGAGACCCTGCGAAGCCCAGAGAATGGACTTTTTGAACTAAAAATTGGATCATAGAAAGTAATAGATATGGCCAACACATGGTAGTGAATGTCTTTGATCCCAGCACTAGGAAGGCAGAGATAGACAGATCTCTGTGAGTTTGAGGCCAGCCTGGTCTACATAATCAGTTCCAGGAGAGTTGGGACTACATAGAGAGATCATATCTCAGAAAACAAACAAAAAGATAAAAATAACAACAACAAAACCAAAAAGATAAAGTAACAGATAAGGAAACCATATAGATGTCTTCCTGTGGTCACAGGCTAAGGGAGAGGGGGCATAGCACAGCTGCTCCTTGCTCTATACCCTCTGATTGCCACTCACAATATAGAATACTGTTCCTTCCCATGACTTAGGCAGGACAGAGGGCAGAAAGGCAAGGAAAACTAAGGTACCTGGAGGAGAGAGAGGAGCCCTTAACCCTAGAGTCTGGCTAAAGTCTCTGTCTCACCAGCTGAGAGTCAAAAACTCCAATAAAGGTAATATTTGCTGTGGCATTTGAGTGTATAGAGATATTATTGCTCCTAGTAGTAGTGTTTTTAAGTGAGAAATGTTGACACCACAGTAAAGAATGCTGAAGGCCTGAGTGTACACCACCAACTATGGCTATTTCCTTTCCCAGCAGCAAACCTGACGTGTTCTTGGACTCTCACAATAAGCCCCACATAAGAAAAGTCTTCACTGGTGTGCAACTTTTGCAACCCATGCTTTCACTTTTTTTAATTTTAATGTAAAATCATCTAATTGTAGTGAACTCAAAATTAAAAACAACATCCAATTAAATCAAGGCAGACAAACAAACACTTGTCCAGCTGCAAACTCTATACATCTCAGGAAATTTCTGTATAGTTAAAAAAACCATTCTGAAGTCATGGAGCTTTGCTTAGGATTTTACATTTTTCACTATCAATTACATTTTTTTTGAAACAGGGTCTCACTGTGTAGCCAAAGCTGTCCTAGAACTCACTAATGTAGACTAGGCTGACCTTGAACTCACAGAGATCCACCTGTCTCTGCCTCCTAAGTGCTGGGATTAAAGGTGTGTACCACCACACCTACCTCAATTACATTTTTATTCTCTTATGTACCACAAAAAATTGTGATAAAGTTGAAACTAGAGAAACAACTTTATATCCTCTTTCAGGATTCATGTGTCCTTTTGCCTGCACTCTTTCCTTATCACCTAATACTGCAGTTTCTAGGTCTAATGTTATACTACACCCACACTTCATCTTATCAGATTGTAAACCCATCCAAGGTACCTTCCAGAGTCCACTACAGTCTCACTTATCACAAAGAAGTAAAAAAGGCTTCTGGTGACTGTGGGATGTTCTGTATGGCAAATGTGTTGCTCTGATTGGTCAATAAATAAAACACTGATTGGCCAGTGGCCAGGCAGGAAGTATAGGCGGGACAAGGAGGAGAATAAAGCTGGGAAGTAATCAGTAAATAAGGCTGAGAGAGAGAGACACTGCCAGCTGCCACAATAAGAAACAGCATGTGAAGACTCCAGTAAGCCATGAGCTGCGTGGCAGGGTATAGATTTGTGGAAATGGATTAATTTAAGCTATAA